AAGGAAATAAAATTCATTTTTGGAAAAATTATGCCTCAAGGAAGGGATTCAATAGCATCGTATCGTTCAGCGGAATTGATGTCGGCATCAAAAAGATCCAAACCTAACCGACGACAACGTAGCGAGGCCTTGTATGAAAAAGAGGATTTTCAGGTGTGCTATACTGTACAATTAATTATCCTTTGGGGCCTTGATTAACTCTGATCAATCAATTACTGTCTTCTATTTATCTATAATTTTTAAAGGGTGTTATTGTACTTTTACTCATCATCAATGATGTTAAACTAGATTCTGTATTAACTACTTAAAAAATGGAAGATTGATTGCAGTTTATTGACTTTCTTTTCAATACGACAAGATTGTGCCCTATCTTCTTTTAGCCTAGTTATGCATGATTAGTTGCTGTATTCATTGACTTGCCACATTCGTTCTCTTACACCTGCTTCGAATCCAATACATCAGTAAAAGTGTTCTATCATACGGTAACGGGGAAAACTCTTCTATTTGACAATTTGTGTTATTATGATAAAAGAATTAATTAATGAAATGGAATGATGGTAGTAAGTGCTATGAAATTCAGCAATATGATCCGTGAAACTGTCATCTACCTGATTTAACCATTCCATCACTCCCACAAGAATAAAAATAGTTATATCTCTTCAATTACATTGACAACGATTCCGTGAATAGTAATAAATAAATTTTAATTTGGAATAGGATATTAGAAAGAATAAATTCATCCCCTCTTCTCGTCTTGCCTTTATTACAGACTTAATAGCTCTATCTTAACCAGTCAGTGTAGTGTTGGCCCTTTTATCATATTGTATTTAAGTTACTTGATTACTTTTCTGTCCAACTGCTAATCCATACGATCCTAATCCAGAGATTGAATTGGTATTTCACTTGTTGTCTATTCATTCCATCATAATGCCATTCGCTAGGGATATTCAAGTAAGATGATCGTTTTAATTTTTTATTTGAAAGAAAAATTGAATTAGATTTAGGTATACTGTATTAGTTAATATACATTTTCTCGCATTCGATGTGTATGAATAGCCAGTATATACGTCTAGATAGGGATAGACTGGTAAAACTCTATATTATGCCCAAATTATACATCGCTGCAATCGTTAACCACTGTAAATCAAGACGATATTCATTTTACTATGGCAAAATAAAAATTTTAACAAATCCTTCTTGTTTCTTTTACTGTCTTACATCAAGATAGGCTCATTATACTCTTTGGTTGTTTACTGAAAAGTAATTTTGCTTCGTTATACATCACTTCTTATTTATCCACTTCTAGCTAATAATTATTGTCGATTTTGCGTTTGATATTATTGCGTTGCCATACACAATATTGATCAATCGAATAAGTTGTATTTCAATTTATCTTTATAACAGAAAGAAGTTGATTACATCAAGACGACGTTTAATAAGCTTGAATGTGTTCACTATGTCCGAAATGTACAGAGCAAAACACGAAGGTATGATCAATATGGAAGCAGAGAAATGGAATTATTTTATTTACGATGAACTTTGGTCATTTTAACCAACCATCATTGATTGGAGTATCAAGACTTAATCTAACTACATTTTGTTACCAATGTTTACTTTAGTCGGATGTGATCGTATTTTTTATACTTATCAGGAGTAAATCAATAATTGTCGATATGTGGAATAATAATTTAAACCAAAATTGATTTGTCATTGGCCGATGTTATTTGACTGGATATTCAGAGGTTATTTTTAAATGATGGATTGGTCTTTGACTTTTTTCCTAGTTGTTATTGTGGTAGAAACACCAATGAACACGGTTTTGAAACACCAGAGCGTAAAACAAGCCGAGGTACAGGCATAATATAGATGTTAAAGTCGAAATATTATATTACTACTTTATTATCAATGAATGATGTTTTTTATTTCTTTCGTAATGATTATCTAATTATAGCGCATGGCTGTTCTATAGAACTATAGAAATAATATTTTATAATAAGACATAACTAAAGGCACACTTAAATGATTTTATCAAGTTTATATAACCGTAAATTTTTATTTATCACTTCGAAATACCATAGTATCATTCTAATGCTACTTTTCACTTTCCCGGTCAATGCCAAAAATTATTTAAAGAAAATCTTGCTATAAATTAATAAGAATTTTGAAAATAGCTACTTCTATGTCTATCAAGTCTTCAGCAGCTACGACATTTATCGCTACTTACAGAGACCACTGCCCTAGTCTCAGTTTTTAGCATAATTAATTAATTATTGTTAATGCTGATCATCGAGGAAAATGCCTCTATTTTGGGTCCTCTCGGTCATTTGATCCCTACCAAATATCTGATATCAATTTCCTACTACAGTATTACAATACTTCTAATATAATAGAGTAATTTATATCATATGATATCTTTTATAATCCAGAGTCTTTCATGAAATAATGCCCTAAGTGTAATCGATAAGAATGGCTTCCCTAACTACAAAAATAATGATGTTAACTAAGCTTTTAATCATTATAAATTAAAATATCTTCACTACTTTATACGTATTTATTCCTAGCTTAAAAATACCAATGATTGTTTCTAGCTCTTACTAGAGGGATATCACAATCATACAAGGGAGTCTTGAAAACTATTAGATTTTAAATAATGTACTTTGCGTTATTATAATCATTATCGTATGCATATTTATCTTTAGCTTAAAAAAATATCAAATGATCGCTTCTAGCACTTACAGGATGGGCATCACTAATAGATAGGCAAAATTGAATACTTTTAGATTTCATATATTGTAATTTACGTTGTTATACAGCATTTAAAATTAATTTTTGTTTCTCAAAGTTCATGATATACGAATATATAACATATACACTGATATACCTTAAAAAATCACAATTTGGCTAATAGTAGCAACTTGAAATTTGGGTGGATGATATTCTGCTTCCGTTTAACACTCATTTACATAGATCATGATAAAACGTACATACAGTAGAGGAGGTGTAAATTCACTTAATGAACAATCTAAGTAAATACTCTCCCCAGTATATTTACCTAGGTTGACTATTTATATGCGGTAGTAATGGCAATGAATTGCTATCAAATTGTTGTATATTTTCTACGGTATATCATTTCATTCTTGGCTTGGAATACCATTCGATCTCCCTTGGTAGATATTGATATAATGAATACTGGAACTACGGTAAATTGAGTAATCCATTCAACTACGTACTGAAAAATATTCGATTTCTATAGGACTATGGAAAGTTGAAAATAATTATAATATCTATTCATAAGCGTAAGTTTATCCTCGAACTATAATCACATTTATCGCTGCTGCACCATTTATTTCCGTTAATTATATCGTCGAGCATCATATAATATAAATAAAATATATTCTATTCTTCGTGAAAAGTTGGGAATACTTGTAATTTTTAATCGTAAAGGTAAGCCTATCCTCGAACTACGATCGCATTTATCGCTGCCACACCGTTCATTTCCGTTAAGTATAGGCCATGGTATAATACAAAATGTCTTCATTTTCCCCTAGTATTGAATTCCTTACATTTTCATGGGTTTGCCATACTTTACTAATCCTATCTGCTGCGTATGGAATGCTAGCCATTCTTTATAGATTCTATAAAGCCTGGAATAGATGTCATTTCTATTCGTATGTGTTCATTTATCCGTGAGCTACGATCTCATTGATTGCTGTCCCATTGCCAATCTCTACTAGGATATCATAGAACTGATTTTCTTGCATTTCTTAAATCTTTCCCTGGCTTCTAGTGATCTTCATCTTATTTTTCGATAATTTGAGCATATCTTATGCTTCATTAGAATTTCTTTGCTATAGCAGCTTTTATCAAGAGATAATTTTATCAATTTTAATATACTATAATGCATCCATATTACTATAATATGGAGAGTCTTGTAATATTTCTTAGCACATGCCAAGAAGATCTGTAAATGGGATCGCAGTAATATAGCTCCGATCGCCTTATTGTTAAGTACTGTACGCAAAATCGGTTGGTTACGATATCTACAATTACATGGAATACTCGTACATATTACAAATCTGGTGCTTATACGGTATTATACATAAATATGGAATAAAATGAAATTTCTTTACTATGGGGATTCATCTAAGATAATTTTGTAGATTCTGATGCTATACAGCTCATCTACGAATAGGGTGCCCGATATTTTTAGCGTTATATAAAATATGGAATAATGACAGATTCCATTAATGAGCGTTAATTTAATATCATGGGCTGTAGAAACTCAATCCTTACATATATAAAAATGAAAATCTGTTTGATTTTCCGCGATATTAACGAAGATTAAATAATGTACACAGCATTAACTTTCCGGCGAAAAGTTACCCCAGCCAAACGTACTTAGCACTATGTACATTATTTAATCTTCGTTTCTATCGCGGACAATCAAGCAGATTTTCATTTTTTTATATGTAAGAATTTAGAATGTAATATGTATGTATTTAGGAATAAGAGATACCTTAGCTTCACTTCATCATTTTTCATATTTGAGTAAATTACAATATTTATTTTTCCTGGCTTCAGTCCTTGCTGGAATCATTGACCTTTTCTATACTGACTATTTCTTTTTCATGTATTAAATAGTGGTAGGATATCAATCCAATCGTCCAAGCACATGGAGCAAAGAGAGCTGCTTAATTGAACGGCCTAGCGATGCTTATGGACGCATTAATTTTATAAATCAATATATGGCTAGTAAACCTGCAAAGGTATCATACCTTTCAACTTTATATTGAATAGATAGCATTTCAGTCTTTACTTAATCGACATTCGCTATAGCTAAATAGAAGTCTTGTTGTTAGAGATTATGTTTTAATCCCTTTAAAGTAACCATAGATAATATTGAAACTAACCTGAAATTGTATAAAATTTAAAATGGATAATTTGTAGTTGGTATAATAATAGGTCTGTCTAAAACTTAATGCTACTTGTTCTTTGCTTTACAGTATGCTCGTGTAAGCCATAATAGCAAACCTAAAGATTTATTGAAGTTGTTAATTGATCATTGGAAGTTACCCATTCCTAACTTAATCATCTCTGTGACTGGTGGTGCAAAAAATTTCAAGCTAAATCAACGAGATCAAGAAATTTTCAATCGAGGATTAATTAAAGCGGGTCAAAGTACAGGTATAAATAAAGCAATCCAGTTTGTGATATAAAGTGGTATGGAGTAGCTATGCCTTCCTCCATATAATCGTGTAGAAAAATTTGCAAGATATCCTTCATCTAAATAATTGATTGAAAACAAATAACTTAAGCGTATAAACTGGCTATATGTTGTTTATAAGATACGGATAGTTATAATTATATAGTGATATGAAATCATTTAATTTGCCAGATTTATGCGCTAAATTCCAATGTTTTTCTTTCATCAAAATGAATTTAAAGGTGCTTGGATTCTTACCGGCGGTACAAATATTGGTGTTGTGAAAGCAGTTGGTCGAGCTATTATCGAATCGCAATCATTGGCATGGGTTGGCAAAGGGACAAAACGAGAGCAGTTACATTGTGTAGGAATCGCGCCTTGGAGTTATGTCGATAATTGCCAAAGCTTAATCAACAAGAAAGAAAATGAATCGGTATATCTACTGTACTTGCAATCTAAGCAAGAGATATTTTTTAGCTTACAAGTAATGCTACTGCAGTAGATATTCTTGATTGAGAATATTTATGCTATTTTCTATCTGAGCAAGTGCGCTATTCTGTTAGCAATCTCATAAAAATCTTTTTCACATACCCCATTCCTGAGTACTTGCTTCTATATTGTGTTATTATCATGTAAAATAGAGCAGGTTAGATTAATGATTCGATACTTTTAACGCGCAGAATACAGTTTAGCAGTTTAGGTTTGCAGGACTTTTACGAGATATTTCTTCTGTAGATTATTTCAATCGTTACTTTAATAAAATTCCGCCATACGTATCCTCTCCCGCATATTGCTAAATTTTATGTAGGAAGATGCAGAAATAAAGATCAGACACAAATAGTTCCAGGCCTGTAATGGCGATCTTTTAATTTCTTTCATGCTGATTAAATATATTTTAGTATAAATACTTTGTCATCGCCATGGAAAACACAGCAGCGCAATTGGACATATAAAACCTTATTTAATTCATACATAGCACCTCTTAATTCAGTTATTTTGCTGAGTAGTAATCTAGCTAGATCCAAATGATGAATTTTATATTGCAAGAGTAATACAGATATTACCGATTTTAATCTAAAGTAATTGAATTTTATAAGTGTTTTGAATAAGGATAATAATTATAACATACTCTTACCGCCTCTATTTAAAAACGATAAAATTTTCAGTAGAATGTCTTATTAATTGATTACCAAGTATTCTATTCTTAAACAACGTTAACTGACTTCTATAAGACTATACGTGAATAATATACGAAAGATTTATGATAATATAATCCCTATGTTGACGGTATTCCCCCAAAAATGTCTTGTAAAATAATTGCTGCTTTTAATATATCTCAAATAGATACCCAAAGATTATAATGTGGAACCAATTGTCCGACGTGATTGTCCCGTCCCATTAAATCCTCATCATTCTTATTTCCTCTTGGTGGACGATGGCACATTACGGAAATATGGTGGAGAGATTAAATTGCGAGGAAGATTAGAGAAGTGTATTGCAGAGAAAAATTGTGATGATAGTAAGTATCTAAGTGGTAGAGAAAAAATTGTTTCTAAAAAATTTAGAAATTATCCTACATCTCTTAAAGTAGTTGTTAGAAAGGTAATATTTACTGCCAGGAATGAGCTCGATAATATCTTTATTTTATAATTTGCTGGTATTTATATCTACCCTAAATTAAATACAATATACCATGTAATTAAAATGATGGTAGGATTACTTGATACTGTTAGTAAGGTATCCAATACTAATAAAACTATCTTATTTTTACTCTGCGCTTCACATTCAGGTTTCGGTCTTGGTAAACCTGTTGTATTACTTGTGCTGGAGGGAGGTCTTGATTGCATTAAAATAGTCCATGAAGGTATTAGCAAGAGAATACCAGCTGTAGTCTTGGAAGGAACTGGAAGGGCAGCTGATTTAATAGCTTTCGCATCGAAGCATGCCACTGTTGATAAGTGAGTAAATGGAGACAAGCTTATTGTATGAATGCAGTAGTTGGTAAAGTAGACTGTATTATTTAGCCTAATTATAGTTAAATTAGTAAGAGTCCTTGTTGTCCAGTTTTTACGTATCTGATTTATATTTCGTATGTAATTGATGCTAGAATAATCGAGAATTAATAAGGCTGCCATATTCATTTTTCTAAAATTATAGAAGACGTCGATACCTAGATTCGACAGCAATATCGTTACTAACCCAGAAAATGTTGGTAGCCTATCCCAAATTGAAAGATCAAGAGGATGGAAAGAAAGACCTACAATATCATATTAATTTAGTTAAAGAATGCATTGCAGATGAAAAACTGGTAAGAGTTATTAGTCTATCTGTAATCGGATAAATTCTGTGGACTATCAGCTTAGAGTTGATTCTATTTTCCTAATGTGATTTTAAAATCTTCCCAAAATTTTTATGTAAGATAACCATATTCAAGCTTGGAGAGCAAAAGGACCAAGAGCTTGATCTTGCAATATTGAGCGCTCTACTTAAAGGTACATCGCATATCGAAATAGATATTAGTAGGAGTTATAATCCAAATGATCATAAATATTAACATGACACTTTATAATGCATAGCTCAATGTGCATCTAAACTGGATCAACTGCGCCTTGCTCTAAATTGGGATCGCGCTGACGTCGCTAGAGAGAAAATCTTTACAGAGGAAGTGCACTGGCCTGTAAGTTAAATCATGATACTAGACGACGATTTTATTGTAGCGATCGAATATTTCTATCTTCTGCTCTTATTAACATTAATATAGCACGTTTAGAGAGTACAAAAATTAGAATTCGTCGGCTAAACCCAATCCCAATAGTATTCTTTCTAATTTTATTTACAGCCTGGCAGCTTAGATGAGCCAATGCTTACTGCTTTAATAAAAAATCGCGTGGAATTTGTTAAAATGTTTATGGAAAATGGCGTTAATATGAAAGATTTTTTAACAATGGGCAAGCTCAGTCTAATGTATAATGCTGTAAGTTATTTACTGTTTTTAAAGACAGTAAACTTACTATTTCTATCAAATGGTTGCACATTTTTAAACAATTTTGAAGATTGAATAATTTTAGAATATTAAAAATTAAATATTACGCTTTTCGAGTTATTTTTGCACGCTTTGGTATTCGCGTATGGTTTATTTACTTCCGAGTAGCTTTCATCAGTATACATTTATTATCTAATGATCTTAAATAGCAATTATTGTATTGAGATAAAAGTGTTAAATAAGATCTTGTTCTCCACATTTTATATCTTTGCATGAAGTTCGAAGTAGCTGCATCCATTTCATTAATTATTAGCAATTAGTATCAGTAAGGCAACATTAATTTCCCCTAAATACTAATCGTATACTCGTAAATATAGGACGGACTTAATAGCCATCTTCAGCATTTGTTACGTCTAGTTGCGGATGATAAGGTAAATATAAAATATTACAAGATATATAAGAAATTAAATATTGCTTTGTCTTCTACCACTGTAGTGTATCCAAATGATTAAAAGTCTCTACTGCTTATTTAACATCTATAGATAGCAATCAGAGATATAAAAAATTTATATATACTTACTCGTATAAATATATAACATGTCTTCTATGCTAATATCATCTAAGTAAAATAGCCCGGCTTAAACAAACAAATTACCCTTTCTTACCTTTTCATCAACAATGTAGGCAAAGAACGATAGAGATATTGCATTTTCATTAAAAGATGTTGGTCGCTTATTGAAGAAATTAATGGGTGCACATTATGAGCCTTTATACCTAAGAGATCGGAAATTTGTTGATGAATCTATCGATCACGATGTCTTGATCTCAGTTTCAGCAAGGCTTGCAGGCACTAATAATTACAATTTAGTTGAAGCAGCAACGTCTAATTTGGGCGATGAGAGTGGACAAATTGATTTAAAAAATATTGCTGGTAACATTGGTAAGAGGATAATGAGTATTTTACGGTCTATTTAATAAAAGAACGAATACCTTGAATAAAGTATCTTTATTCTAGGAATATTTAGATTTAGGTTAAATAATTGAATTCTGTCGTGAAAGGGATATTGCATCGCAAACTACATGCATGAGCGATACCGATTTATGTATTGATATTTTGTAAAATATGTAAAGCAAGCTATGGTACTTTGCTAACATTTCCATTTGGAAACAATATAATTTTAATAGACGTGGGTATTCTTGGAGCATTTGAGAGAGCGAGTCCAGCTATCGTTTTTGACAATCCTATTCATGAGATGTTCTTGTGGGCAGTGTTGAGTAATCGGCCTGAGATGGCCTACTTTATGTGGGAACGAGGTGAAGAATCTATTGCTGCAGCATTGGTTGGTAGTAAACTATTTATGGCTATGGCTTCCGATAATAAAATCGATAGTGAGAAATCTGCAGCCTTAATTAAGGATGCAAAGTAAGCAGACTAGCTATGTTCACGTATATCTGATTAATAACCATTTAGTGAGTCTAGGAATGTATCGTAGATAAAAAATCCTTTCTTCGCTAGCTTATTGTAAACTAAGAAAATGCTCTTGTTTATCTCCTGTAGGAAATTTGAAGAGTTAGCTATTAGTGTATTAGAAGAATGTTATACACAAGATGAATATCTGTCACAAATGTTGGTTAAACGAGAAATGATTAATTGGGGTGGATTAAATTGTTTGCAAATGTCAGGATCAGCTGATGGCGAAAGATTTATATCTCATCCATGCTGTCAATCTACACTAGATGAAATATGGACAAATGGCATACGATCATCTACATCGATGGTAAATTAGTCTGATTTTCACAATCTAATTTTTTAAATTAATAAAAGGCCAGTAGTTGTTTTGTTATGAGATAAGTGAAAAATGGCAATAAGCTATTTTGCATTGGGAAAACAACCAATTTGCATCTGTTCGATAATAGAATACGATATAGTTCTACTGCCTCAGGGTGCTAAATAATTTGCAAAGGTGATTCGATTACCTGCAGCAATTCGGTTCATACAAAATCATGATCGATTAGAGTAAAACTATAAGCTTGTTAAAAAAAAATTACTAAACGGAAATGTAATGATTTCTTAGAGATTTGATATTGCTGTTGATATTGCTATAGTTGTCCATACAGTAGATTATGTCTTGTAACGATTTGCAAAATTTCTGTATAAAAGTACCTACTGAATGAGAATTTACTCAATCTTAGCGGCGAGTATAGGAATTTTGTGATGAATGTAACTAAATTTAGCTTTAAAATATTTGCATATGACATGAAATAGGTTCCTATTGCCACTCTTTTGCCCTTCTTAATTCCATTGTTAATATCGTTTGAAAAGCAAGAAGACGATGATCGTTATTCAGGCTTTTGTAGCTCAGTTTTTAATGATATAAAGAGATTTTATCAAGCTCCTGTTACGAAATATTGGGGAACAGTGGTAAGCATGCAAAAGTATTAGTGAAGGAGTAGAAATCAATTGTAATGGATATCAATTACTCAATTAACGGCCACCTTTTAAATGAATCAATTTTTATTATGTTTAGTTTTGGTATATTATCTTCCTTGGCCTATACAGCTACGTTATTTTATTTTCATTTAATGCTTTTCCAAGCATACCTGAATGGATATTACTTGGCTGGATATATACCATAGCGGTAGAATTATTTCGTCAGGTATCTATGGCCCGTAATGTGTTATCAATAAGCAAAGTTTGCATGTGATAGAGAGATATAAGATAAATTATCATTCCATGTTTGTCTTGTATGTTCGGTAAGCTACTTTATGATCAAAAATGAAAGCGGTCTAGAGCCATCTACGAATGCGAGGCTACTTTGATCATATTTAATTTAATCACATTTCTTCGAGTTCTTACTATCGTTGATAATTTATTATAAGTAAGATACAGGTTATTTATCATATTATATCTTAGTATGAGCGTAGATGTATAAGATTTAATCAACCAAGTAAATTATTCTAAGCTACTGGCTTATTCGAACTCTCAATTAGATTTCAGCAGCAGCTAAATATCGCCGGCAACAGTACATGTCTCGTTGGACCATGGTTGCTGAAGTTGTGAGCATCTTCATTGCAGTAATTGGCTTTTGTCTACGTTGGATTCCGCAGGCGATGGAAGCTGCACGTATATTATATTGCCTTAATGGAGCTATTTTCTACGCCCGTGTACTTCGATTCTACTCTTTTAGTATTAGCTTGGGTCCAAAATTGGTCATGATCAAGCGAATGGTAATCATTCGTCTTACCATTACTTTTAATAAATAATATTACATAATCCGATATATATGAAATTTGATTCGTTGGATGGAACGCAAGTAGGAGTAGCTATTAGCTAAGTAGTCGAGTAAATAAGCCTGATTATTATAATTAACTGACGATTACTTATTTTGAAATTACAGATTATGGAAGTTATACTGTTTCTTTATATCTTGGTGATCTTTTTGGTGGGCTATGGTGTTGTTAGTCAAGCATTGTTATATAAAAACATACCAGTTACTGCTGAGAATATTCTGCAAATTATTCAACGGCCTTATTGGCAGATGTATGGAGAACTAATGTTGGAAAAGATCGAAGGTAATTCTCAAAATAAGCCTAAGGTAGTTCGACTCTGTATCATTACTTTTTGACTCTATACTCATATTAAGAAGTAAGATACTAGATCGCCAGGTAATTTGTGATACTGGATGGTAAATAAAAGACCTGCAACTGTTGCTTATTGACAGGTACCGATATTGGATGCAATGCTACTGCACAAGTCGGCAATGATGGAAAATTATGCCCTAAGAATTCCTGGCTTGTTTTGCTTCTGCTCGCGGGTTATATGCTCATCACTAATATTCTCTTAATCAATTTATTGATCGCAGTTTTTAGGTAAATTACGATATTATTCTTAATCAATTTAATATCTATCCCTATAATATATGATATTTTTTGCGGATAAATATGCAGATTATATTATCTAGTTTCGTATATTTTATATTAAAGCTGCTACCCATGAGGCACCTGTAATAAAGATGTATGAAGTTAAAATCAGTATTAGAATTAAAATGCTATAATAATACTGTGAAGACATTTACTTAAAACTATATTAACAGCTTATGGTCAATACACAATCTACATATATAAGTGCTGAATAATATATCGAATTTTACTAAATTATACATAGTACGGATTGGCTAAATAAATAAAATTTTTCTAATATGTCAAGATTAATTCAAATATATTTTATTATTATTTTTTTAAGTAATGTATTTGAAGATGTTCAATCGAGATCACGAGGAATTTGGAAATTTCATCGTTACTTTTTGATTATGGAATTCAATAACAAGCCTGTCCTACCTCCACCTTTCATCTTACTTAGTCATTTTTATATGTTATTAAAGTACACTTGTTGTTGGCGCGATGCTCAAGGTAAGAAAAAGTAGAGTAGATATTAATCCAATAACATAATATGCTGCACTCACTTGCTACCTTTTGACCACAATTAATTCTTTGTACTTTAATCCAATTTTATCATTCTATGCCACCAATGGTTACAGTAACACCTCTTAGCGAGCAACATATTGAAATTATTCGGCTTTTTGAAATTGAAGCGGCGGCTTCCTATCGTAAAAAAGCCCAAGCTGAAGCAGAAAATAGTATAGAGGCCCAATTGCGTGCTATAACAAATAGGTAAAATTTCAAATTCATTCTAATACATATTTCTAATTTAAGGTAGGTAGAGTGAGTCTGTCTACAGCACTAGAGTAATAAACAGAAAAATAGATATGACGACAATCTCTCTTTAAAGAACGTGTAAATTTAAGTAATTTCATACGTCGCGTTCTTAATAGTCTTGCAGGCATCCAAAATTTTATGAAATTACAACAGCAGCGGAATATATTACATACAATCTTTAAAAATCAAGATTTAGCCAAAATAGATCGAAATGCTGGTGTTTATGGATCAATGACAAAGTTTAAGAAACCTATTTTACGGCGAACCAGTGCTGTTGGAAACGAGTCTGATCAGATAATTGTTTCAAGTCCTGAGGAAGAAGAAGTTGTAAGCTACCTTCAAACTGATGATAATGCCTCCGGAAGTGATTCAAATATTATACAATAAACAGTATACAGGATATCCCAACGTAATATCATTCGTTATTAACATATGAACCTTCTATTTTACTGTTTCTGATATTAGTTCTTTTTCACTATTGAATTCTTTTCCGGACAAGATCTTAATCATGTTCATTCTATATTAAGATCAATTTTAGTATAAAGAATTTTATCCTCATATATCTATGTTAACTGCATACAAAACTGGTCATTGTCAACAAATATTGCTTCAAATATTGGATATTCATTTATGAACTATATTTTTAATCAATTTTGTCGTTTATATGTTGATTTAGACGAAATAATCTTTTATAGTAATACAGTATATGAAATTACTGTACATTTTATTTCTTAATTCATAAATAGCGGAAGGATTGCATTTAGCTTGGCCATATACTACTACGTATAGCCTATCGCGCTGATTTAAATATTCAAGTAATATCGTCAGTAACTGTTTCTGCTATGAATTAAGAATCTTAATCATCGATAAGTCGAAGCTAAGATTATGATGTCATATGATAAAACATTGATTGATTTTGTAATTAAAATAATAAAATATTATTCATATTATCCTTATTCTTGCAAGAAATATATCAATAGCTATTCAAAATATATCTACGGTTGCTTACCGTAGCCATTTAATGTAATTTGTTCTATTGTATATGAGTCGTAGGTAATAGTTGTAATATTATAGAATAAAATCAAAAACAAAGGCTGTTGATACGCTAATATGAATTTCATGTGATCCAAAAAGGATTAGACCTGTCTCTAGAATAAAATTTTGTCTAAATTCTAATCTTCTGTATGTAAATTTAATTTAATTGCACTATATCAGCTTTTACTCGAAATAACTAATAGTTCCAATTCTGTAGTCAACTGCTACCTCGAAATGAACTTTCTCATCATATTCGTAATCTATATCTATAATCTAGTTGATAAGACAGCGTTGCCTTTTTAGAATTCTACGTAGAACTGAGACAGTTCAGGAAGTACTGTAAGGTTCGATTTTTGAGACATTTTAGAGCTATATTTATACTCGTAGTTACGGCTGCAAGATTTTATTTCCACTATGCAAGAAGCAATCAAGTAATTTGTGTCACCTTTAAACAAAAATTTTCAGTATCTTTGTGCAAGTTTTGCGAATAGGATCAATGTCTGATCGTTCTTCTGTATCCTTTATCTTGGATTTGATGATGAGTTAAATAATCTTTTGTGAATAAGCATCACAGTATTTCAGTCGCAACCACAAAGTACTACATTCTTTAGGCTTCTATAATTTTATATATTTATGTAAAACTATAATTTAATATATTTAAATGATAGAAAAGTATGATAATCCTACAGTTGCAAACCTTTTAAACTGTATTTAAAGATAAAAATTATAAGGAATTACTATGACGCTAAAATTGATTAGGGGTGAAATAACGTATGATTTTAAACTTTTATAGTAAAAGTAAGTTTCTATCAATTTTAAACTATTAGATTAAATCTTTGAAAGGTAGCAGTGAAGAACTTGGATTCAATCTGACATTAAAATATAGGATTACCACAGAGTAACTTCAGTATAGCAGCCGTAACATAGTTTTCATAAGATTACTTACCAAGGAATGTGTTGATATTAATTTATCTACAAATTTTTACATATTTTGAATAGATGAGTGAATAGTTTTATAATGTTATCTTTCTATAAATTAGCTGGCATTTGAATAAAGTTAGGGTTTGGTTTTGCTTAAAAGAGAAACTATTGATATCACTATTCCTCCTAATGATTGTCAGGAGGAATAGCCTTACTGTAAGTAGATGCCGGAGTAAAGAACCTGACAATAGAGTCATAGCTTTTAGTATCTGTAATAATTTTAAATTTCGCCGTCGTTATAAATTTAGATTTATAACGCGGACATGCGTAGGAGATTACTCTAGCCTTGCCAATTATTCTCTATGAATGCCAATTACAACTAAGTATGAATGATATACAATGTATAAAGGTAGCAGTAAATCAAACAATTGACGCTTACCTTCGCTAAATCTTAGTTATAGATATTAACTTTGTTAGATGACCTCGAAGATGCAGGCTATTGAACTTATAGCAGCAGAAAATTGAAATAGTTTGAAACTGATATTGATTGATATATAATTAGAGTAATTATTGCAACGTAAATAGCAAAAAATTGACTGTTATCTTTTTTAAATCTTAGTTTTAGATGGCCTCGAAGATGCAGACTATTAAACTTATTACAAGTGAAAATTGAATTAGTTTAAAACTGGTGTTAGTTTTCAATTAATCGGAGGAATTTTTGTAACGTATTTAGAGATATACTCACTATTAGATAGATGACGCAGCGATAAGATGTCAGACACAAAACTAAATAAAATGGCTATCGATATATTTAAATGGAAACAGATTGTGCCAAAGCTCTATACAGTAGTAGTAAGCGTCATTGGAAAATTTCAATCTATTCTTATAAATGGAAAGATATAAGTATTCCTAATAAATTAGTATTAAATACAATCAATGTCAAGATAAAATGAGTTGACTAATTTTAATTATTCCCTGTTCACGATGGAATAAAAGGAAATTTGATAATTGCTTGATACCTCACTTAAATAAGATAACGAATTGTTACAAGTTAATTCAGTATCAGTTTGCCGTTATCTTCCTGTGATACAATTAATTGGTTACAATAGAATAGTGATATCAGTTTTACTAGACTATTATGGCTTGTTAAATAAGACAAATTATCTCTATCCTTATCAATAGTGTTACAAACTAAAATAAAACAACACATTTTGCTAATAAGCTAAGATGCAATAAAACAACGTAAATTTACTAGAATGATTTTGCAATATGATAGCTAGATATGACATGCCACCAGTAGAATCTATATTTTTAAAATGTTATTTCTGTGTTACTTGCTAATTCAAATAGCTTTAATCTAAACGGTTAACAAAAGTGCACATGATAAAAGCAAACAGATGGTAAATTGGACTGAAATAAAAACTAAGACTTGAAAAGGTTTAAATTGTGTTGATATTTAATTAACAATTCAGTGCTATTCAAATTTGTTGGTAAGACAAATTAGATGATTATTCTCTTTCATTGTTGACCATATCAATTTTGCAACATTAATCCTTAAAACAATTCAATCACAGGTAAAATTCTTATCATGTTAACAAGACGGAATTAGAAAGTAAGGCTGAATTGTCTATATTACCTTCTATCAACACTGTACCTGATATAATTATCATTAACATGGCTTCCATGATAACAAAGATAAAACTAAAACAGTCATATTCAACTAGATAGTGGTTGTTGAGCTAATATCATGTACTGGCAAAACATTTATCTTATGCGTTCAAAGATCATTTAAAGTGCCATTATCAACTGAAAAAATTAATTTACTATTGGTAGATTGAGTTCTGTTAGATGTATTTATAGCCCTGAGTGCTACTTAAGCTGAAAAACAGAACAAATGCTAATATAATACCTAGAATCTAAGAGAATAAAGAAAAAAGCCGAAAATTAAATGCAGTTTACATACGCTTATAATTCACTATCTATGCTTTATGATTATCTCAATGACATTGATACAGCATTAGTATAATCTAATATTCGAAAATTGAGTGAATACTTGCTTAAAATTTTTAAAGAAAATAGCTGAACTACTATAGTATTACTATTCAATGCATGTGACTTTGAAAATTTGGTAATCGAGCATTTGCAAAATATTTCTAACTACATTTAATAAAACAATCATTTAGTAATTGCTTCTTCATGCAAATGAGCTATGGTTTTTGGTTATTCTTAGTTTAGTAAGGCTTTGATCGAGGGAGTTTAAGTAATTTAAAATAAAAATTTATTTTGCAGTGATATGGAGCTGATTTATTTGTAACTGTGGCACGTCAAAATGTATGATTTATCTTCACATCAGTACTTATTCGATTGATAGGAGGTGGCTTAGTGAATCTTTACAGGTGGACAATATTAATTTAGAGTTTGTCGAAAGTGATGCAACAATGATCGTCTTTTTCTTATAGTTAGACTGTACAAATGAGCTATCTAACTATTCTGGATAAGCAATAATTAGATTGAACGTAGCCAAACAGACTATATCGGGAGACTGTGCTGACAAAAGTGAGATTAATTTGCAATACTGATACTTTAATTAATTCTATTAATGGCTCGATAGGTATTTGAGTTATTTTGCCTTTATTAGACTGGCCGCCAATCGATCATAGAGATCAAACTGATTTGTATCAATACTTTATACTTAGCTAAGGCACCAAGATCAAGTTGTGGAATCTCACGCACATTTAAGCTTACTTATAATATTGTGGATAGGCTGTTTTACTACCTTCTAAATAATGAAGCAGGACTAAAAGAAACTGAATACAAAAGCTACTAGCTTTGGTCCTAGCAATTAAGATAACCATGGCGATACTACAAGGGGTGGGACATATAAATGAAATTCGCCTTTGACAAGATTTTAATGAACAGGATATCTACAGTAAGTTCTAATTAAACAGTTTTTTATCAAGTGTAGAATTGTAATTATTTAAATCTAGACAAATGCGAATGCTATTGATTTTATTTAGCTTCTTATTCTAATGTATAAAACTAACTTATTCGATGGGTTCAGCTTAAAGCGATAGCATCTGCTGAATTTATAGGTAGTTGATAACATTAAGTTTATTTTAGTTTCAATTTTATATCACAGATGCGATACACTTTGATGCTTTGTGCGGAATAATCCACATTTTTTTACCTGAAATAACGACACACCGATACCAAAAGCGCCTATTGAATACATGAACATCACAATATCGTCTTTGTATCTAGGAAAGCAACCCTTTAATTTAGGAAGAAAAAACAAAACATTAGATCTATTCTTGCTTCATTCGCTACTCTCTACCATGTGTGATAGTATCTTACTAACTCTAGCTATTAAAAAGGAAACTATTTGTCATCGATTATTGCATCAATTATTAAATTTAGAAAAATTACTTTTGGATTCAATCATCACATATTTGTGGTCGATTTTCGATTTTATAAAAGATTGATAAGTCTAAAGTTCATAACTATAAATACTTACTAGTTAATACTGAGCTATGGAAAGCTAAGCTGGATTAATTATAAGAGATGTTGATAGATATATGACAATGGACAGACTTTTTGGTATTCCTATACCTATCTGTAGTGGACACTAATATGGTCTATCATATTGAGAGTGGTTCTGGTCGTTACTGTCAGAAAATGTCAAAAGTGCTTACTTGTGTATAAATGTATTGAGTATTTTTGCCATAATCGTAGAGTTTGGTACATGCAGCAGGTGAATTCGACTTGACCATGGTTGTATTACAACATGATGCAGGCACTGGATATGGACCCTTTAGTTTGCCGTCAGCAGTTCCATTCTTAGCCCATGTTGAAGCAGCCCAATTTTGGTAGCCATTATAACCACAACAATGGCGCTAATAGATCCAAATTGAAAATATTGTTAGTATAACAGCATATTTAATATGATAGAAATAGAAATAATTACCGTAGATTGAAGGCGATCCATTGCATCTCGAACATTCTTCATGGTGTGGTATTTAGTATCAACATCTTGTGTCATGTGCTTTAATGCAATAGCTTGCAACTAAAGTAAAATTAGAGTGTTCAACATTAGTTAGGGGCCAATGATATCATAAAAATTAGACTAGAATCGACTATTGAGATCAAAATACAATGTACGCGTATATAGCATAGTAAGTTTTCAATAATCCTTTATCGTGGTTTAAGTCATATCTATGCTTAAATATTTATACTATCAGATACGTATTAAAAATACTTTAATTAACGAAAGTTAGAAAATGAAGAAAATTGTCAATTGGATACTTACGCTTGGTGTGCCTTGATAACCAAAAACAGCTGTAGCAATTTCTAAGCTTAGACAAATGACCAAGTAGAAGATGAACTGTAAATAAGAAAGAAGATTCAATTAATTAATTCATAAATTTAATTAATCAGGATTCTATTGCTATTTTATTTTAACTGCATTGCAATCTGTAAGGATTAATATCTAACACTCATTAACATCCATCTACAGCTGAGCATTATTTTTTCTTTCCTTTTATCTCACTATTCTGAAAATCAAATTACTACCTTTAGATGTTGGGATATTAGTCTTCATTTTCATAAATGTAATACTAGTTCCATTAGCATTTTTACTTATCTTATAGCTAGCTTTACTTACGCCTATGAGAGCCAATTGGTTATCCCATAAGGTGCTACAGCAACCAAAAAAGCCACCCACAATCAAGAGTACGCCACCAGCTATAAGGAGGTTAGCACCGATGAAGTAAGTTTCTGATGTCAAGGTGGAGTAGACATCATGGTGGACATGGAAGTAGATACCAAGACCAAACATAATACCGCCAACAACCTGATCGGAAAAAATTAGTTATAGTCAATGTTGGATAGCAATAAAATTTACTACAAGTCTTTAGTAAAAAAAATGGGCAATCATTTGCTATTAGGAAGTGATAACATAAGTTTAATGAATGCACATTGGATCAATCAATATCGCTTATGTGTTAATTGACAGATGAAATTTAAAACGATTGAATGATAAAAAATACGCTTATATGAAGGAAAGGTCACCCAGATTAAAATGGATCTTAAAAAATAAATTTTAATGTTACTACCGCTAGAACAAGGAACATGCAAAAGTCAGGAATCTAATCATTCCGAAGATGGGAATATAGCTAGCGTAGATATTTGTTGCTTATTCAAATCATTGATGTGAGAAAGAAGAAAAAAGCCGTGAAAAGACGGAGGACAAACCTAATTTTCAACTTACCCACAACATCAAGTTGAAGAATAAGAGGAAATATTGAGCGCAAGCAACGCCCTTGTCTTCATAAGTTGAGATCTTCATCTTAGTAATCTCAGCGAGCCAATTTCAATCGCTAAATGTCTAAAATAGAAATATTAAGATTTGGATTCGATTGCAAGCTATCGGCAGTATGGCCTATACTTCTACAACTGAAAATGACTTTCTTGACTATCCACGAGATGAGGTCACTAATTATCCAATATAACGGTATTGAGAATGTAAAAAAATAAAGAAAGCAAGCCAAGGAAAATATAATTGGCTCTATCTTTTGGCTTAGTCATCGACTGCTGCTCGTGCACTAGCTAGACATGAGGGGAAATAAGCCGACGCTACACGCTTATTGGTAGAAATTAAATTGGAAGCAGCTATTGGTTTAAATTTTTACTGGAACATATGGTGACAGAGAAGTCATCATTTTGACTCAATGTATTGGAATGTTAGTAGTCTAACAAGACAACACATAACGGTTTTTCCCTCGATTTTACTTCGATCTATTTGCCTCCCTCATTGATATTGCGATAGGTAGCATTAACTGATCTAATTTGAATACAAATTAGTCAAGTTTTATGATCAATTCCATCCATTGGAATACTAAGATGAAATGAACTAATGACCTCACTTTCTTTCTGCAACTTCGAATACTATAAAATACTTTGATATCACTTATTCGTGAATGGATTACAATAATTTTTCCAGTAAAACATATTGATTTGGCTCTTTTTAACAAAAGAAAGATAAAAGAAATGACAATATTTCACTACGTTATTAAAGGAAAGATCGAAGATTTCAAATTAGCATTTCTTTAGTCATGCTTCAATTTACTACTCGAGTGAGATATTATTATCAATTCTATTCTATTACAAGCAATCGAGCACCTCAAATAGGGAGGGATTTGAGTTTTTATTTTTTTATAATATATTGACCATAAACTATGACGGACTACGTGGATTATGCATAGTACTGTTACTCCTCGAATATTACCGATAACTAATTAAAAATGATCTTAAATGATAAGATAGCCAATTGCAATATTCTTTTTAAATTTGAGCGGATATTTGGTTCGTTTATCCGCGTTGCTACCTTGCTAAAGGATATGATAGACGCAATTGTAATTAATTGATCGAAGTAATTATAGACGTATTACAAGATCAAGATTTACTTAGCACGTATGGAATAAAAAATAATCTTCAGCCTACTATAAGATATTATCGAACCGAAGTTTAGGGTTTAGTATTTTATTTGTGAGCAGCATATCAGGAACGATTTCAGTATATCGAAAGAATAAAATAAGCGATATGGATGCATGTAGTTGTTAGAGAATTTTATCCAGGTGCAAGATGTTGCTATCTCGGTACAATGGACTGATTTTTAGTATTTCCTTTTGTAGGCGTTATATTATGAACCATTTTGGAATGCCGCATGAATATCATGCGGTATGCGCTCTAATAATTGCAAGCAATCTATCCTGCTATAAAGTTACTTCTCCTGTTGTTACATGAGTGTTGAATTTCTTGATAAGAACTTCATTAATTTTAGTATACCCATATTGAATGAGTTTATATTTTTATGCAGACATACTATCAGGGTTAATTCAGTATTTTGAATGAACAGAATTAAGAGTCGTAGTATCATAAATGATAACGGTAAATTACAAAGATATACAGCATACTCGTACAGATTAATAAAGTAGAAAGGAAGAGCTATTAATACACTCCTAGATTAGTATTTGAGGCCGCAGCGTAAGGTACATTACACATTATAGTTTTAAGAAGTTAATTATCTGTAGTTTACCCTGCTTGCATAGCGGATGAAGATATACGATCGACCATCGGCGTTGCAACCTTTTACAACAGTAGGGTTCATGTGCGCGTAATATTTAACGGAACACGATATAAATGATTGGATAATATCATCGGCAAATATAAAAAAAATGTCTGATTCGATAGCTTTGTAATTAAAGTAGCTTCGCTAGTCCAATCCACGTGCTTTGTTGCTCTCAGTCAGTATATGCTAGAGGCATTGAAGCATTCCAAGTTCTTATTGGCATAAAAATATTTTATTTCATTTTCTACTTGATTTCTATTTCAAAAACATTTACCTTCTATTCATCTAGGTAACAGTATTAACGATAGTTTTATATATTATCTTCATTTTTATTTAAACTCTACTTTTTAAGGAGTTATATTTGTAAAGTTAATGGGATAGTGTCCTCAGCGATTTTATTTAAGTTATCCTATCAAAAATAATGTCAGTGTATGATTAGAGTATGATTTACAGATGCTTGCTGCTATTAAGTAATAACAATAGTATCGTCCATTTGGTTCAATCTGAAAAGTGTATGGCTAAATTAGCAACAGGCCATACTGAAGACAATATGCAACAACCTTTTGTTATTTTACTACCTAATATCTTTACTTTTATAGCTAAAAATTTCGCGATACAATGATATTCAATCGCATAGGGTGCATTTATTTTCGAGGGGTCGCTATAAGTTTATATGATTTACATCCATGGACTAAACCCGGTCTCGGTTGTAAATCATAAGACTCTTGGGATTCAGCCATTTTAAATTCAAAGTGATTCATCAAGTGAGAGATGTACATGAATAATTCATAGCGAGCAAGGGATTCACCAATGCAAGTTCGCGTTCCAACTGAGAATGGTATCAAATTGGGGGACTTTATTAGATCACCATTTTTATCGAGAAATCGTTGAGGCTGAAACTGTTTAGCATTAGGCCACAATGCCTCATCATGATGAACAGACCACAAATTGACCCATACAGCTGTGCCCTTGGGTATCTTTTGACCAAATATTTCAATATCTTTCAAAGGTGCATGAGGTAACGACAAAGGTACAATACTACTTAATCGTAACGTTTCCGAGATTGTAGCATCTAAGAACTTGAGGGAACTACGATTTTCTATCGCTGGATAGTTATTGCGTCCTACAATTTGGTCTAATTCATCATGGACTTTTTTCTGAATTTGCGGATGAGTAATCATGAACAATAAATACCATTGAACTGTATAGGATGTGGTTTGCATGCCAGCAAAAAATAAGTCACCAATCGTGCCAATAAGTGAATAATCATCCAGCATTGAAGCTTTATCATCCCTTTCTTCATCTTCAGCTTCTCGCTTAGCTTTTATCATAGCATCTAAAATATCTCTAACGGTATCGGGATCGTAGGTTTCTTTATGCGTTTCGAGTTCTTTTTCCAGCATAGATAGTAAATCATTGGTCAAGGCTTCAAGCTCTCGATTTGTTTTAGAGGGTATCTTCATGAGTAAATGATAGAGGAAGGGGAATGTATCAAAAATGTTGTTCATACTTATATATTCATCAAAGACTGTCAGTGCTGCAGATAGTTTTTCAAGTGATTTTCTATCGATATACTTTTCGAAACTATCAGGTCCAAAGCAAACGGTGAATATCAAGAAAGTTACAGAATTGAGCAGATCGGGTAAGACATCAAATGGTTTTGATTCATGTTTCTCTATGACTTTGATTAATTTGTTAATTTCTCCTCTTACAAGCTGCTCAAATTTAGCAGCATCACTTCCAGACGCCTGTGTATAATTGCGAATAGCTGTATGGGTAACTTTTCGGTGAAGGCGCAAAGTTGGTGTATAATCAGTAGCACTTATGCCAACAGGACCATTGGGGATTTCAAAAAATTTAAATAACATGAGATTAGGACGACCTAACGGAGAGACAAAGATGAAATAGAGATTGAGTAAAATAACTTATTAAACGTAACGGTGGCAGTTGACTATTGGGTAAAGAGTAACATTATCTTGTATTATAATTGCAGGCCAATTGACGTCATTATAATTTCATGGCCTTGTCGTATTATTATTGCATTGCACAATGTACATGCTAATGGCGATTGTGAAATCGTACTGATTGAGAAAAGTAACTTTATTAAACGTTGCAGCCATTGTCTATTGGATAAGAAGTACAAATAGACTATCAATAGACTATATTATAATCAGTGGACTACAAAATTTTACTCTCCTTTAGCTGTCTCTGCTATATTATACTATAGGATAACTGTCTCTTTACAGCCATCCTTGCAGGCCAATTGATGTCATTCTAATTTACTGTATTCAATTGCTGATTAAAGCCATGCCAATTTCTTAATTTAACTAAGATCGTGAGTTGATGTATCGTATCTTAATGCAGACTCTTTTCTAAAATTACTTTCAATATCAAAATAGGACCAATGGACGAGTCTATTATCCCTACATACCTCCAAATGTTACAGAATTCTTGAGCAAAGCTTCTTTGACTTTGTTGACTCCATTGACAATAAGGCAAGGTCGTGTGCCAATAAAGACCGTAAATACATCACCATAACGCTTTCTCATTTCCGTCAATGTTAGCTCGGGAAGTTTGGATAAAGCAAAGGTATTTCCAACGATTGGCCATGGCAGCGGCCCGCTCGGTAATGTAGTCCTCGCTTGAACGACTGTCCAAATATAATTGAGTAAACCGATCGCGACAATTGCGATCGCAACATTGCAGACAGATAATTGCATCAGGCAATTTTGCACAAGGCTGCCAGCCATTGTTGACATTCAACGTCTCTTACCAGATTGCAATAATAGTGGTCAAAATTTTCAACTTGTCTTCACTTCTTCCTTGACTATGGCCAAGATGAATCGAGCGAGAATTGGGTTGCAGCAAGAGTTGTTGATTAATCTTTGCTTGCGCAGCTCGTAATTCTCAGCATGAATATTGCAAAACTCCGCCCGGATTGATGTTTAGCTGCCAAGTGATTGGCTCAGGGCTATTTATAGGCTTGGTCTGGTGGTCTGCAGTACAATGCCAAGATGGTACTCAAGGACTGCGCGTACAGTACAGTACTGTACACTGTACAGTACTGTACTTACACTGCTACTTGCAGAAGACTTGTCTGCTGGTGGGAAATAATAATAATAATAATTATATTATACTGTATAGAGATATATATAATAGATATACTACAGTATAATAGGCGCAAGAGAAAAGGAAGAAAGTTGACAAGCTCTTTGAACACAAAATGAATAAATCAATTATTGTGCGATATATAAATTGAATAATTGTGGCCATAAAGTTGGATTACTTAACATTAAGTACTAACCTGTGTGTTAACGCTGGTACAAACCACTATTCAAGCGTTCGAACCATGGTATGAATGAGTGTGGGGTGACATCCTTTTTGATCGGGAGTGTGGCTCAGGTACCGGTTTACACTACTGTACAGTACTGTACTGTATAGTACTGTACAGTGTACAGTCTACTGTACTACAATCATATGGCACGGTAAATACTGTAGGAAAAGCAACAAAACGCTCATACTGGGCATACTGTACTGTATTACTGTACAGTGTACAGTGTACAGTACCGTCCAGCTGGCGAGCACTGCCACTGTAACCAGTGGATGACGTGGCTGCTCAACTCCTGACTGTCGTATGACTTCGTCCACGAACTGCAACTAACTAATAATAAATGTCCACCTCGGAAAGCCGTCGCTGAAAATTTCTCTTATAGCGGTAATAAACATCTCCCAACCTACTCAAGTAATATTTCCCCCCTCAAAAAGCTGCCACTGAAAAATCTCTGTCATAACTGTCATTAAAAACTTGGGGCCTACTCCACGAACTTTTCCCTCTGCAAAAACCGCTGCTGAAAATTTCCCTTATCGAACATTTCCCCCTCTAAAGCTGGAAATCGAAAATTTCAAATTATATTACCAGCGGCTTTTGCAGCGGAAATCTTCGTGGAGTAGTCTCAAGCACTGTATGCATACGTCGAGATGGACATTTAATTCTAGTTCAATGACCTTAGCGACACAATATTTGGATTTGACTCATTACTATGCATAATTTTGCTCAAAATCAATATGCTATAACGACAGTACTGTACACTGTGCAGTACTGTTAAGCAAACATTACATAGTGAGACAATTTCTTGCTAGCATTCCATTCCTGTTGTAATATATTATCCTATTCGTGGAAAACGCCCATTACATTATATAAATTAATAATTATAATTATTGCCTGTACTCAAAACCAGTGTAGGAGCACACAATCAATCAATAATAGTAATGTCATTAATAGTAAATAATGATGCTTATGTAGCAACGCTAGTCAATCTATTTGACTGTTTGAATGTTATGCAAAATTGAGCAATCGGGCACGGTGTCTGAAAATAATTATCACAAACCATCTTATTAAGCTTACAGCTACTGTTCAGTATACGAGCATGTTACGATATTCCATTATAACATCATTATAGTGATCAAATAGGCTATAACCATATACGAGCAATAACAGATTCTACGAGGGTATTCGATGTTGCAATGATAGACAACTTGGGGCTACTGATTAGTGGTGACTATAGAGCCTTTTAGGACCTTTAGTTCTAGTGGATACTGTCAAAGGCAATTGGGGGCTAGAGGTTTCTCAAATAAGTCTAGATCATTCGCAGTCGATGGTCAGCGGCGAAGTATGCTGTAGAAACATCTTGCCTTACAGGAAAATTTCCATACCAATAACAGTACTTTATCGTTTGCAATTCTGCCTTACTTATGCATTGATAAATATTTAAGAAGCAGTCTTTAGACTGTTTGTGTAAAGTCTGAGACGATGAAATTGAAATAACATGTTACTAATTCTTGACAATGCACAAAGATGTATATGAGGACAGCTAATAATTTCTACCGTACATGCCTTAATTTGTTTTCAATCACCTTACTGAATCTGTAATTTGTAGATACGCATAAATGCATAGCAACGTTTGCATCGATTCGCATACTAAACTGTATGGCTTCTTGTTGACATATACACTGTGTAGTAGCTCAACTTCTCCACCCATTTAGTCGGCTTAATAATAGTGAACTTTGTACAGTATTTGCAAAGAGATATAAAAAGTACTAAGTGAGATAAAACTCTTGCGAAATACGATATTCTATAATAATTGGCGGATGTAAGCTCTCCGGTTAATATACCATGTATTAGTAGAAGTGTAATGCTCTATAAGATTGCCAATATATACTATTTGCCCCATGGTTATTTAGACTTATAAATTTAGTTGTAATGAATGCCCTGATACTATCGTACTGTAGATTGTCTACCAGTTATTCTACAAAGTACTAGTCGTTGCCGAATGTTTCCAAGTCGGCCTAATATACCATCGACTTGATTACAACAACTAAATCCTATTAAATTATAATGAATAAACTTGTGTTAGTGAATCAAAAGTAAATAAATTTTATTGCATGTTGCGATAAAGGAAATAAATCGATTAAGAAACATAGTTATATATGAGTCATTTGATTTGCACTTAGGATTACCCATATAAAAAGTAACTAACGCTATATCTACAGCCTGTCCAATGAACTATTATCATGTGCTTGCATTCAATCTTTATATTCACTAACGATACGGTATAATAATTCAAATGTACTATAATGGGACTTTTCAATTAGATTATTATTATAGGTAAAAAATGAGTTCTAAAAATATCGGTTAAAGTAATAATAACAATTCTAGAATACTAACGAACTCTACATTCGAGATTACGCCATAAATATTAAGCATCAGTAACAACTCTAGAGTAGTGCTTGATGATTGCTGTTATAGTGTCAGTACTACAAGTATACTGTATCATGAGCTAAGCAGATCAAGCAGCGATAGCGTAGAGTGGACTGAGTTATTAAATATTCCTGCTAAGTCTTCATCTGGAAGCACTTCTTACAAGTCATTTTTGACCATTCTAAGTGTGGTAGATCTCTTCTCATTAAACTATTTAATAATCATAGCCTACACTCGTGTCATTAAACAAGTAACATTACAATTGCAACTGATTTGCAATCCATGTTTTCCATCACGATATCCTTGGAGTTGCAGTCATCTGATATTCCTTGCATGGCATTACAAAACTACTTCCTGTCGATAAATCCAATTGTTGATTATCCACTTTTCTAAATGTGCAATGCTGCATAAGATGTGAGATGATAATGTAAAGATTAAACTTAGCTAGTGTTTCTCCAATGCATGCACGAGTACCGCAAGAAAATGGCATTAAATTAGGTGATGACGCTTTGATTGTTCCGTCGTTATTCAAGTGGCGCTCAGGGGAAAACTCATTAGGATTGGGCCATAATTTCTCATCGTGGTGTACAGACCACGTATTAATCCAAACAGTCGTTTTAGATGGAAGAGTGTAATTGTTTAGCTTTATATCTGCAATTGTTTCATGTGGTGCCGCTAATGGAGATACACTACTAGCACGAAGGGTTTCTAAAATAGTAGCCTGAAGGTAGGGAAGTTTATCTCGATCTTGTAATGTGGGATATCTGTCTCGACCGATAACCCTATCAAGTTCATCATGTACCTTCTGTTGTATATTGGGGTGTACAATCATATACAGAAAGTACCATTCAAGTGTAGTAGTTGTAGTTATAATACCAGCTGCAAAGAGATCAATCAGTGCACCGACAAGATTTTTGTCATTCAACATTTTAGTCTTGTTAATGTCGTTCTTATCTTCTGCTTCATCTTTAGCTTTAATCATAGCGTCTGCAATATCTCTGATATTGTTTTTATCGAATGTTTCATGATGAGTCTCTAATTCAGCATACAATAGTTTAGAAATGGATCTTAGTAGTCGCTCCATGTCGCTCGCTACTAAAGATCTTGGCCAAGGTTAATACGATATTGCCAAGCCATGGAAATACGTCGAAAACGCTGTTGACACGAAGTAAAGGTGTTAGTCGTCGTATTAGTGACAAAATGGAAATAAATTTCTTCCTGTCAATATAACTAGTAATGTTATCCTGACCGCAAAGCATGGCCAATGCAATATCGCCAACTGTTCCAATAGTATCCAATCCTGGATTGAAAGGTTTACCGCCTTTTGCATGGAAGTTATCGATTAACTGTTTCGCTTGGTTACTGACTAATTTCTCAAAATGGTTGGGACCGCTTTCAGTCATAATGAAGCTGCGAATTGCTGTCTGAGTTAATCTACGATAGAGCTTGAGATGTGGACAATAATTAAGCGTAGTGATACCGGGCAAATTATCTGGTGCTTCAAGAATCTGTAGCATGTACGTCTGTGGTCTACCTGCAAAATCGTGTATATTTGATAAGCGTAGGAAAAAAATATTGACATTAGTCGTTGTCTCAAAATTATCATGATTAAATTGAGTTTATCATTATCCATAAGTTCATTTAATATATAGTATTTTACAGCTTGACGGCGTGATGCAATTGCTTTTTTTTTGAAAGCTACATGAGCATTATTGTAATGTTTGTATTTGCGGTAATGTGTATCCAATGCATAAAAAGGCATCGATCATTAATAAATAATAATTAGATAGAATGAATGTAGTAATAGTGTACAGTTACCAAAACAAGTCATTTTTCTTGTGATTAAACTGTTTAAAACCAGCTTCTTATTTGCTTTATAGTATTACTATTACCACGATCAAGCTAATAAAGCTGATTAAAAATTGTAAAATCAAGGCATAGCAATCTAGTTTTGCTATATTACTGTAATTACTGTAGAACAACTATTCCGATAAAAACAATCATAGACTATTGACAATAAGATAGAATGCACCTCAGCAAGCGTTTACTTCATTTAATCAATTGATGACATCAAGACTAGAGAGAGCATAAAACTTATGGAGAGCTACTTACTACAAACTAGATCGTCCCGTAATTATTAGAAAGAAATCATTTTGCATAACCACAGTAAATCTATACCTGAAAATGCATGCGAGTGTTTCAGTAGGCATTCTCGTATCCGTGTGCCAGAGAGGACAACGACAGGATTTGAGCCATTAAATACGGTCATGACATCTCCATACTTTTTGGCTAAATTAGCTAATGAAACGTGAGTAACACTACCCAATGGATTGCCAATAACTGGATAAGGAAATGGACCGGGTGGTAAAGTGGCTCGAGCACGAAGCACGATCCACCAATATCTGGTTAAATAAACAGTAATTAGACTTGCTACAACATGATACCATGTTAAGCAGCTATACACATCCGCTAATAGCGAGTAGCAAGAAAGCATAATCATCCAGTTTTTCCGTAATCAAAATGGATTCAATTTGCTGCTCGATATACTCCGAAATAAGACTTTAACGAATCTGAATCTTAATTATTTTACTATTTTTGATTTGGCTAGCAAAACGAATGTAACTAGAATATTTACAGTCCGTATCTTATTGAACGTCTTATACTAAGCGCTGCTGATCGAGTTGTCAACAGAGAAGTCTCGGTAGCCTATACCCCCACCGAGGTCATTTTCTCTTAGCTTTAACTATAAGATTGCTAGAGTTGAGTTGATATGGTACAGGACTTACTGGACTACTGTATGAGCTCAGCATCGTAGATGATATTAGCTGGAGAAAAATTTTTTTAAGCTGTCCCTAGAGATTTATAGCATGAAAACATCGCAGTGCGTGAGTACTGTATAGCCTTGACATCGATCCGTTGTGATAACTATACTCCTTTTGAAACATTTCAGATATTGTCTTATAACTTATTCTAGCTTCGGTCTTTCCTTGCTTTTCCTCCCTTCTACTTTCCATCTGAATACCTTGATCAATCGAAAGATTGATGATCCCGAGACAGAATGGCCTAACTAGAGACTTCCCTTAAATCCCTTCCAACATGATCTAGATCCATTCCTTTGCCTAGAACTCGGTAAAGCATATACGGTATGAGACAACACAGTACTAGACTGCATACTGTATCCATAAACCGATCGGCAATGAGAATACGATAGTATCGCGGCATTTTCCTACTTCGGTACTATACTGTAGGCTTAATCATGTACCCTATCATCGACTAGAGTATAAGGTACTATAGCCTATCATCGAGGTAAAAGAAACCTTGAGTCGATGCTATTTGCCTACTTGCATACTAATTCGTTGTTTCTACAGGCAGCAACAATCTTCGAGGAGTTGGCCGTCATCGATTGCAAATATTCAGTTTGAGCCCCAAGTATCAAATACTTGTGAATATAAATGATTGATCTATAATTAGTAGATTATCATTGGGCCAATTTAATGTTACGATGAATCAATCGCCTGTCTTGCAGAAGTCGATTTTCGGTAAGCAATGATTTGAATGGAGTTGATTTGTTGTACAAGAAAAGATAATGGTTTAGCTGCAGAAGAGCAATGGATCGCAATATAGACGTAAACCAAGAGCAATCGAATAGCGAGTTCGATCGAAATAGTAAACCAGATAGCTTGCACACCAATAATAGTCAAGGTAGGCAGCAATACATTGATATTAAGAAGATTCATGTTGAAGATAATAGCCATAATTTAAGTCAGCAAAAAAGCAGCGATGATGAGAATGAGGACAACGCGTCTTCGTCAGCTATTGATGCACGGCCACAACATGCATCGGACAACAACTTTGATCATTTAACGCAAACACAATTGGATGATACACAAGGTAAAGAAAATAGTCTTCCTTTACTACAAGATTTGGAAATTAGAAATGTCAACAGTCGTGCCAATGATGATAGTTCATATCAAATATCTCCGTCAACGTCGTGGTTAGATAGCGATTCTCGTACAAGTGATCATGATAATTTCAGCCTGCATAGCGCAGCTAGCAATAGTTCTGCATGGACTGATATCAAACTGAATGAAGACGGCCATGCTATTTCAAAGGATGATCTAACTGGTAGGAGCCATGCCAAATTTTCTGAGAATACTTCTACTTCTACTCAATCGAGTTGGTTGTCCATGTTTAAGCGTAAAAGTGTCAATACTTCCCCCAAAAATAGCAATAAAGGTATCTATCCGATAGATTAGCCTATATTTTCGGTGATTGCTAATTTAGTAAATAATGCTTTTTTATTTTTGCCCCATGTCATCTTATTCTTTGCTATTTATATCAAGATTGTATATGCTGTGATCTTAAGAGCTACCATGTGGCTCGAAAATGCTTATAGCAATTATCTCCACCCGCCCAAACAATTATAAAATCGATTTTCATGTTTAAAAATTAAAACGTTTTACTTAACAACAGTTTTATATCCAATTCACGAACCCTTGTTTATGATACTCTTATCAATACGCAACATGGAGTTAAGTCACTCCATGACAGCCAATTGTAACTAACAGTAAATCGATTCATGATTAATGTTGTAGAAACAGCGTCTAAGGCAAGATCTCCTAGTAAAGTTGCTGCTCTACACGCTAATTCAACAACAGGTTTAATCTTAGAGAATAGACCCAAGTGAGTGGAAGAAACATGCACGATACGTGTAAATTACACGCAGTATATGCACTTACCAAATTATATAAATTAATTAATAGTAATGTTCTATATTTTAGTCATCATTATCATTGTTATACAAATACAGTATTTCTGCTCTTTTATAACTAGAGATAAACAATATGTAAAATTTTGATAATCTCATTCCGTTAAGTATAATAAATACTGTTAAGTTGAGACGAAACTATCAATCATCGATTTTAAATGTACGAGTAATAGCATTTACATACCATTATCGTAACAATTGTTGTTTAATGATCTGATTTATGCTATTGCACGAATCATGAATTAATTACGCAATAGTCATTTGCCTTCGAAACCAAAGCAAGAAGAACTAAAACATCGCCAGCAATATCTACAAATGTTAGAAAATGCAAAAAGAAAAGCGGCTAAAGAAGTCGCTATTAAAGAAAAGTTAACGGAAGAGAAATATGACCGTGAGGAGATTCTTCGTCAAAGCGGTAAAAAATGGATTGAAGAAATCATTCCTAACTGGCAAAACATGTAAAAAAAATGTTATTACTTCAGATTTATAAAAAATCTAACTTGCAATCAATTTGGAAGACTGATCCTATTATTATCAATAGGAGACATTCAAGTACAGTGCAACAGATTTGGTGGCAAGGGATTCCGCCAAACATTCGAGGAAAAATTTGGAAGCTTGCCTTAGATTTTCGCTTAGATATCTCAGCAGGTATATCATGTGCTGTATTCTACGTTCGTATAGTTGCGCATTTTATGATTGAAAAATATTGATAATTACAGTAAGTATTAAGTGAAATGCTAGAAATACTCCTAATCTTTGATCTCCATTTTGAAATAATATAAAGACTTAAAGTTTGTTTCTATTTTAAGAAATATTTGAAAAAGAAATTGTTATTACTGACTTATGGACGTATTTTCATTTTTTAACAATAGACTTATATAAAGTATTAGTGGAAAAGACTGATGAAAAATTTAAAGAACTAGCTTTAAACGGTTAGATAAATATTCGTATAATAATGTTGACGCTATGAAAAACTTGCAGTGACGAAGTTATTTCACAACTTAATTGTTATTAGAGCCTCAGTTGGATTCACAGAGTGATTCTCCATTGATACAAATTAAGCTAGACATTTCACGTACTTTTCCAAATCTTGGAATGTTTCAAGTTGGTGGCCCATATCATGCTTCTTTGTTCGAGATTCTCGGGGCTTATACCCAATTTAAACCCACCGTTGGCTATGTACGTCTCTTTTGATTCATAGTCCTCATTAAACCTTCAACTTTAAAAACTGTCCTTTGATTTGATTGTAAATATCAATGACGTCAAATTTTTTACCTATTGGAGATTCAAGGAATGTCGTTTCTTGCCGCAGTATTTTTATTGAATATGGAACCCCTGACTGCCTTTGCCTGCTTTGCTAACCTGCTTGAGAAACCGTGTCAGAAATCATTTTACGAAATGAAGACGACTAAGGTATTGATGGAATTTTTGTTACAATTACTTGATTATTCAACAGAAACTTAGCTAAGATATGATTTTATCATCACAGACTTGCTTACATTGTTTATCGTGAATTACATAAGTAACTGGATTACATGTTTTAGATGCAAGCCTATTATCAAACTTTCGATGGCCTGTTTTATAAAAATCTTCCGAAATTATTTAACCATTTTACAATCAATAATGTAACTCCTGATATGTATCTTTGTAACTGGTAGGTTTAGTAGAATCAAACTTCAAAATTTTTATTTAATGCAAAGAATAAAATTGCCTTATTAAGCTGACTACAAGTTATTATTTCCTATCATAATTGATTGTACACTAGGCTTCGAACTGACTTAATTGTATATTATTATCAAGTATTGATTACATAATCTTTTCTAGGATATACACGTTATATAGCCATAGTCTGCCACTAGATGTAACATGTCGGATATGGGATATTGTTTTTAGGGATGGAGATATTTTTATATTTCGAACTGCTTTAGGTTGGTTTTCAGATTATAGTTAATCTTTAAAGATAGTGTCAGTATATGAAAATACAGATACAATTCAATTTCAAAAATTTGCTCATTAATCTGCTTCGAGTTTATACTAAATCTCATTCCTCAATATCTTAACACCTTTTAGGGATTTTAAGTTTATATAAATCGAAGCTAATGGATATGAAGTCGATACAGATAGCGAAATTTTTAACTAAATTACCAGACGACGTTGATTCCGACTTACTCTTCGATGCTATTAATGATATCCGTGTTACTAAAAATCGATATAACTCTATGTTACTACAACACTTTGAAAATTTTAACTGTAAATAGGTACTGTCAACGTCTGAAATGCGGCCTAAAAGTGCTTTAAATCAAGACATGAATGAAATTGGAGTATAATTTTATATAAAAATGATCAATTTGATAATTACGTATGCTCGCATTGATCTGAAAATGATCGCGAAAAAGTAAAAATTTTATACTGGAGCGTAAATTTTATTCTAAGATTCAATCTTTAGTTCATTACTTGTGAATTCTGATTCACATTGTACATGTGTTATACTGTTCGTCTTTGACTATAGCTTTTATGCAATATTTCATTGTGAATGTCAGACTGATCTATGTCCAATATGACTATTGCATGTTAAAATTTAAAATTTATATTGTCTAAAATAAAAGCTATTTGCTGGAAATATGTACCGCTGCATAGCTACTCAGTAGTTCAAGCGTGCATGTCTGATCTTAGTAAGCTACCATTATACGCGTATGGCATGAACAATAAGAACTTGCAGTGATCACATTAAATCCATAAGCAGGGGCATCTTATATAATTATCGGAAACAATTCACTTTCTAGGCTAAAGCTACATTTGTGGTACCTTTTTAATGAAATTATCCTACCGTATCAATTAATCCCTAAAGGTATTAGAAGCTACGGAATTAACAAATTTGTTCACGAATTTGATTTATCAAATTCCAATAGCTACATGCCATTTGGGTAACAAAAAAAACTCATAATAATCGCAAAATAAATCCGTAATTCCATTTCCAATACATTTATTTAAAAGTGAATTAGTGAGTCATTACATTATCCAAGATACTAACACATGTCAAATCGAAAGCAATCGAAATTCTATTCAGTATTCACAGACAACACTTCTACAAAGCCATTACAACGTAGGTTATATCGTAGTTATGATAAAATGAACATTAACTGTGGGTAGGCCAAACGATATCAATGCAGAAAAAAGTATCATTCAAATGATCGGAAACCAAAATAACAAGCCGAGATATTTTCTTTTGTATTGAGTACTTGTCCTTCTAAGTTGAAATAATTATGATCGAAAATAATGTACGAATAGAAAAATAGAATAAACATGTTACAATATGATATTTGTATATGATTGAAGATAACATAATAAACGATGTATGTATGCGCTCAGGTAACAGTTTTAAATATTAAAGTTAGCTTGTCTGAGGGAATTATGAAAAGGTCTCAGTAGTATCATTAAAAATAATATAAAATAAAAATTTTTACGTTACAATTATGCTGTGTACTGCTAATGTATCTCGTGCGATATCTCGATCAGTTTGAGAGGTTAAAATCCTAAACCAGCAAGTTACCAAGAACCTGAACTTGAACTCGAGGACGACGATGAGGACGAAGATGAGGACGAAGATGAGGAACGATGCAAAGCATCAGCAATTATGGCACCAGCGGCTACCCCCGCGACGAGTCCAACAGCAGCTCCCTTTCCAGCTCCACCCCCACCACGATGATGATGATGATGCTCAGTAACAACAGTAACGCCACCCGTTGGCTGAGGTGGTGGAGCCTGCTGAGCTTGAGGTGGATAGGCACCTTGTGGGTAGTATCCACCTTGTTGCGGATAAGCGCCTTGTGGAGGATATCCACCTTGCTGAGGGTATGCTCCTTGTTGCGGATATTGACCTGGCTGAGGAGGATATTGACCAGGTTGCGGAGGATACTGACCAGGTTGAGGAGGATACTGGCCAGGTTGAGGAGGGTACTGGCCAGGTTGAGGAGGAGGATACTGACCAGGGTATCCGGCAGGATTTTGAGGAGGGTAACCTGGTAATTGACCTCCAGCGTATGGAGGAGGTTGAGCAGGTGGAGCGGATTGCTCTTTGAATCATAATTAAATAAATCCATTAATCCTTCATAAAATTAAAACTCTTGACTTGGGATTGAAGGGTAATACGGTATTACATATACATTTTACTGATGATGATACTTACTTGGCTTTTTTTCTTTCTTGCCCTTATCCTTTTTACTTGGTAAAGCGTTCTAAAGAAAGAATATCAATTGATTATATACTTATTGAGAGAATAAGTTGCTACCAGCTATTTGATGCTAGTGTATATCTTTATCGGTAATATAATACCGCTATAAGCGATGACAACTCCAGAATGTTTACATAATCTGGTAAATAATATATTACGCACTGCAGCATATATTAGAAATTTATGTCGATTGCTTAACATCAGCTTTGTCAGTCGTAATCATTACAATTTAATTCTCGCTGTTATTCATGTTAACGACACAAATAAACCGTTCGAAACTCACCATTAAAGCTTCCCTGGTACGCTCGATTTGTTCTTTCCAGAACCTATTGAGATATTAATACCAAAATATCTTTAAGTCAGGCTTTATAAGACAATAACATGAAACTCCTTAGTACAATCAAAATATGTACACATTGCAGTTTGTGTGATTGTTCCTTGTGAATCTAGAGACTTGAAAGTGGTCCATAAACATAATCGTAATTTATTATTTCTAAAAGTTATCATTTGTAATTTGCATTTCTGACAGTATACTACTAAATAGCGTGAAAGGTAGTTGTGTTAAATAAAATATATATATAATTGGTCAACTGTGAGAAATCATGAAAGTTACATATAACTTTCTGCCAAGTTTTTCCGAGTATTGACGTAATAACAAATTGTAAAGATACATGCTGATAAATTATACTGTAAGTAAAAATTTTACCATTACAATCTACTGCGATAAGGATATTTACTAACAGTATATCAACGAAGTAAAACGGACGTCTGCAAAAATAATGAGGATCTATAAGGATTTTGTGCATTTCGGAACTCTACCGTGTAATATATCAATTGTTCGTTCCTAATTAACGGAAATTATATCATTGAGAGCTACAAGTGTAATAGTATTTAAATGTGAATGATGACATAAGAATAATTATAAGCAATGTTGAATGTTGCTCTTGTAAAGCATGAGCCCTAATCTGTGAACTTTGAAATACGAGTATTAACTCCTGTTTGGCAAACCAGTTATCAATCTTTTGTACTATAGCCTATTAGAGACCATAAGCTTGCTATAGAACTTATTGACCATAACGATTGAATAATATCATATTCATAAATTGAAATACCACTACGGCATACTATACTACTATACTAGTCGTACTTTGCTTCCTCTGGCGAATTCATTAGAAATACTGATTCTCTACCATCTTCTTCTCTCAGGATCATAACACTATTATTATTAGCACCACGAGGCAGTGGTTCACTAGGAGGAACACCAATTCGTAGGCTAACATCATCTTCTAAGATGTGCAATCTATCTTCTTCCTTGCCTCCTTTGCTATCAAAATAGGCAAACTCTCCATTCACTTTGAGTTCTATGTAGGTCGGCTTCCATTTTTTCCAAAATGTTGCTACATGATTAATAATAATACAGTCAAACATATACTTAATTGACAATCACTAAAACAGTGTAATCTTAATCAGTATCTAAGTAATATAACGATATCGATGAGAAATGAAATGACTCCTTGATCAATTAGACGCCGTCCCGAAATAGCAATGAATGACGTAATTTGGCTGGGAATAGTTGCTGTACTGTACTGTACTGTACTTTATTTGTACAGTACTACAGTACAGTACTGTACGGTACGTAGAGACGGTAGAGTCTGGCACTGTACTGTACTGTACTGTACTGTACAAATCTTGGCATGCAAATGGAGGTGACGTCACGGCAGGTCATTTGACTGCGGAATACGGTACTGTACTGTACAGTATACGGTACGCAGTGTAAATGAACGTACTGTACACTGTACAGTCAGCCATCAGCAAGTGAGAAAAATAGATGATTAATGTGAAAAAGGTGAACTATGCAAATGTAAACGAGTTCAGTCTGGGACATGGTCTGGACAAAAGTGTGAATTAAGCGAGGAGACCGACCTTATGACCCATTACTACAAATAACAAAAATACGTTTTACAGAGGAAAGTAAGAGCTTCCGTGTTCTATAAACACATACACTTTGCATTCTATACAAATACCGTCAATGATTCAAAAATATATTGTCGTAGGATTAGGCTAGTATGATACTGAAGCTAGGAAAATGTTGTAGGTGAACGAAGAAGAAACTCTATGAAATTGATTTAATTCAAGGTGCCTTTACTATGCCACATCATTTATTTATGAAGTGAACGGTTTATTCGAACATTATTTACTGTTGTACAGTATCTGTGCGACGATTTGACTCTTATTGAAACTAGACTACATCGCGTACTGTGATCACATTGTACGACGTATACGCTTATTATCAAAAATGGGCCATGGGTAATAAAAGATTGCCGTAGTAAAACAAGTAAACATGCCCGCAAGTAATTTTCCACCACACTGAAGGCCTGATAAATTAAATTGAATGATCAGGTAATATATACTGTACATTGTATAAGTAATGGCATCAGTACAGTATATTAAGGACTAAGACAGTGACACATCGCAATGAGCACCATGCAATAATAATCTAGTGTGCATCGATTAATGTACATCAACAGCGTACTGTAGTGTACACTGTACAGTAGTTACTGTTATTAGTGTTAGTTTCTATTTATCACGCACGCTAAGCTTCATTTTCGACTAAAAAAATCGAATTAGTAATCTGTAGAGCTACAGTACTTAAAATTAATCTATCCATTTATAATATCAACTTCAACTCACTCAGACGTTGTGCCCAGGCTTCGCAAACGGCCATGATAAGGATGAGAATACTTTCACTTGACTTTAAAAGTTCAAACCCAAATCGTGAACGAATCTTGATTAACTGATTATAGTGGAGAGCTGCTTCTCTTATTTTGCCGCACCGTAACGTACGGTACTGTACTGAAATGTACTGTACACTGTACAGTACGCACTGTACTGTACTACAGTACAGTATAAAGGCAAAAAAATTTGTAGTGTACTGAACTGTACCACAGTACTGTACTGTACAGTACACAGTAGCCAAAAAAGATTACCAGGAGTGGGGTTCGAACCCACGCGTGCATCTGCACATTGGATCTTAAGTCCAACGCCTTAACCACTCGGCCATCCTGGTTCGCACCTACCTCTTAAGGAAGAATTTTTATTTAAGAAAAATCTTATTCCTCATTATTCAGTATCCATATGCATTATGCAGTGTACACTGTACAGTACAGTACAATATATTATAGTAATTAAAGGAGAATACACTGTACGGTATGAAAAGAGCTCCGGTTAATGAGTACAGTACCACACAGATTGAGAGTATGACTACAATACGAGTTTATAATAATACCCATTATAATTATCAATTCCTTTTTTTATAGTCTTAGCCATGCTAGTAGCGAACTTTACATGCATTTACAGACTTTTTACTATTCGTTTAAGTTGCAAATGAACAACAAACTTGCGCGAACAGTCTTGAAATGGAAATTTATTTACATTGGTTACATTGATTTATGATGGTATTTATATACTGTAATAGTGCAACAGTAGAACTTAGAATAAACGTTCAATTTGAAAATTGAAACTAGAATTTATTTTATTTATGTAGCGATTGCTTTGTCATCTTATCTAATTGAAATTATAATTTGAAATACTGTACTGTACAGTAAGTTAAGATGTTTACGGTAGTAATGCGCTATGAATTGAGTGCACAGTACTGTACACTGTACTGTACAGTACAGTACTGTAATACTGGATCAGGTCTAACTGGATGTACTGTACTGTACATTGTACAGTACTGCACATGAAGTTGCCCCAGATTGCCCCATCTCTTGTCCGATACCACTGTACTGTACTGTACTGTACAGTACAGTATAGTACAATACTTTACTACCGCGCTAAGTGTAGTTAGTGCTATACTGTATACTACTAGATATCCACTCACTATTTATACGTGTACATTGTACTGTACAGCCATTATGCATATCTAATCTAATTTAATCTAAGGATTTTACTTCAAACTAAATTGGGATACTGTAAACTTAAGTGAGTATTCTAAAAAAGTGGCTATACAGTAGTTGCACGTCAGACCGGTCCTAACTGCAGTCATAAAGATTTCAAGATTTTTAGACCGTATCCACTACACTATGGCCTCGACGGCTCCACCCTCCTGCATTGGAGCCTGCTTATAATAGCGTAACGTTGTGCGTCGCATAGTGCCTTACAGTAATTGTGATAGCTTTGTTATTCAAAATCATTGTTACTCAGTTATTATGTTTTTTCTTGTAAATTGAATACCATTTCTTGCAATCTATGGCGAAAAAAGCAAAAATAACTCGCCGCCAGCAAAAGCGATGAAGAATAGAACGTACAAATTTTATGATTATAGAGCCGGAACAACGGTATTTGCTAAAATTCCAGTAATATAGCCTGTCCCCTTTAGTACTTTATTAGAAACATTTATTAGAGTTATATATTTTAGACGTGAATCGATTCATCCAAAGAGACTGTAATATCCGATTACTCGTATAGTGCCTCCTATATTTTGAACAATAATTTTCTTTTTACAGTTCGCACGCTTGTTCAAAACACGAGCTATCTGATGTCAATTAAAATCCAATAATATATTTGAAGAAATCTAGCAAAGCAGCCAACCTTTGGAGTCGCAAAGCGATGGCATTTTGTTCTCATTCTAGGTACAGCTTTGAATCTGATGGAAATAAACCAGCGAATCAAGGTAGACTAAAGCATTACGCCGTATCGGTTTCACATAAACTACCCAAAAAATAAAATTAAAAAAAAATATCTTAATTATACTGCCAATAGACTAATCTTTTCCGAGATTAACTAAAAATACGGCGCGTTATAGTACTGTCTGATTTGAATGATATGCTTCATTATTACGCTTCGGAGGGTGGTACTATCGTTGTTTACTTTACTATTTACATTAGTCACTCATTTCGTGATATACCTCCCTCCCAATCGAACTCTAGAAATACTCGTAATTCATAACTATACTTGGCTCTCGATTATTATCGTTTCTAAGATTTTTTGGAGACTTTAAAATTCCTGATGCCAATTTAGTATCGAACAATTCTGAAGACAATATATCACCATTCTAGATAATTTGGCTACGCAGGACGCATCTGTTCAACATTTAATGAGTTATTATCAATGTCGTCATTATGGATGGATTAAGAAACAAGGCGGTAATCATAAAAATTGTAAGTCATGATTAAATTTCAATTTTTCAAACTTCTAAAATTTTACCGATCTAATACCGAAAATTTTTATATCATAAAATATAGCAAGGCTTAGTGCAGAAGTAATAAACAGTGTATTCCTATACAATATTTATTTTGAAGGCATTAGTTGGAATTAAGTCATAAAGAAAATAAGAAATTAATTTTTAGAGCAAGTATACTGAAATCCTAGTTGTTAACAATACGGTAGAATTGGTGCTCACTGGAATTGGTAGATTTTAAAATGTAGTGGCAACGAATTACATGTTCTTTGGTTTAACAACAAGCGTTACAAAATGCTGACATTATAATAACTTCTGTATGCATAGCATCTTTAAAGCAAATATAGTAAATATTATGTCATACGAATTTACAGGGAAAACTCGGTTCATGATATTGTGTCAGGGATGTTTATATTACTATGAGAACGAACAATCAGTCAAACCGAAAGGCCATGTTGTCCTTAATAACTACAGGTTCGATATAACTGTTACAGCAGTTGGTGCACTGTACAACCATTTCATGTTATATTTAACACCATAGTAGTACTTACGCCATGCTGCCGAATATAAATAAATTTTAATTGTTAGATTATATTTATTAGTCAAAATATCCATCAAACCGTGGATATTCATTAATATAGCGGTATTGCCTTTAATTTCTACTATTAAATACACCTTTCATACCGCAACGAAAACTATCTTTTGATATCTACTATACACTACATCATGAACGAGAACAGAGCCTGTCCAGCTCCAGAAATGAGAAAAATGCCATGGGTTTTTAAATTACTACATCTTCATCCGTGCATGAGGACGTACTACGTCTCCTGTAAAAATAGAGATGAAATGCTGGTAATTATAATTATTTAAATGATATCACATAATATTTCGTGAGTCCAATACCTGCACTTAGGTGGGAATGAGAAATACAGTGGCTGTGAGAAAATCTTTATAGTCTTTCATATTAACAACTGTAGCGCTGTTCTTATTATCATTTAATAAACTTCAGATTAATTTAAAAGCCATTATTTTTAATATGTTATGCTGTCACGTATACGTGTACAATTACGTACTATGATACTATGCAAGTTATCTAACTGTTAGTGCTAGTTGACTTTAAGAAACACTTTGTATTCGAATGAAATTAGCCGAATCAAAATTAATCCGCTATTTATACATAAGATGATTTATCAGTAAGCATTATCTTCCACTCTTCACATTGTTCCTATTTCTGCAAATATCTTGTCAGCGTTGGATCGAAATGATCGGGAAAGACATTGAAGTTTATTGTAGCAGTGATGACTGGTAATACTTTTAATGATAATGGTAAAATAAAATTAGGAACGTTGCTTCTGTAACTATACGCTAGTAGCTATCCACTTAAATATTTAACTATATTCTCTTTTTATGATATTATTGGAATAAAATAATATCACTTTGTTGAATTATTTAAAACATACAGCGAACAATGATCGGACATTTTTAGATTTGTTTTCTACGTAAGATAAATAGTTTATTAAGGTGAAGTTACCTAAAGGTAAACCAGGTTCTCGGTTGGTAATTCTTGTGTACAGGGGTCACGGATATGAAAAATATGATGAAGAAAGCAATCCAGAAAACCAAAGAAGAAATTACTTTCAAGAAAGCGAAATTCCTGTAAATATAAATGATAATCCACCAACTGCGACAGAATCTAGTAAGTAGATGTATTGGTCTTAGTAACTAAATGCTTTCAATCCTATAGACTTATTTGTTTTTCAAATTCATTTATCAAGGTGACATGATAAATTTCAATTATGACCAACAGATTGACGGGATAATTAAATCTAAAGAGTAAGGAATGACTATAGCTCGTAATAGCGATAGTTGATTTTTTCAATAGACTACGATATACAGTTTATAATTATACAAAATAATATTATTTCAAACCAATCTGATCAAGTTATAAACAAGTATATCATCGTCAATTAAAATGGATATAGTCATTAAAAGAAGGCCACTTAAGAATATTTAAGATACTATATACTACATTACACAAAGTATTTTCATTAATGAATTTAATGTGTTATACGGTACCGTACAAACGGTTACGATGAAACTGGAGATGATAAAGTTTTCTTAAGAAGATCTTATAATCATAGCATACGAACGTATGAAAATTCGTTGGTATCGAAGGTCTTGACTAATGCATATGTCGACTTCGATAACGTACAATAGTAATAAAGTGGGTATATCATTTATTTTAAAGCACTGATTCGATACGCTGTAGCAGTTTCAGTAATTAAACAAGGATTTTCGTTGATCCATTTGATGTTTGCTTTGCATAATATCCTAAAATTTATAATTTAATTTTTGAAGTTTCTTCCACGAATATCAAGTTGCACATCCCAGTTCCTTGAAGCCATGGCAAACGGTATAATAACTATTGAAATTTTGGAAGAATTAAAGTTAATTAAAAGTAACAATTATTTAAATTAAGCGTAATAGGTATATACGATTGAAGTCAAATTGCCGCATACTGCAAGATAGCTACCATTACCCTATTATGTTATCATATATTGCAGAAGCTGTATCTTGTGCTATTCGAATAGCCTAATGTCTACAGTATACAGTACAGCGCTATAATTGTTAGAGTGTTAGATTGTGCATCAATGCCATATATTACTATATAAATTATTAGTCAGTTGTACTAATTAGGAGTAGTACGAATCTTCAATATCGTGGCTAGTATTAATTAATTAACGCTAGATACAGTAGTGATACACAACACCGTCTTGGTTTTTTATTACATGGGCTACTTAATAATTTCTTTTGAGGGAATTTAGTACTCCATGATTATTACTATATCACGGGTTGACTCAGGATTTTAGTCGCTAGAGACATACAGAATAGATTAAAGCGAGTCCAGTAAATCAAACTTTGTTGTAGCGCTATAATAAGTACTTTAATATGAAAATCAGTGAGTTTATTACATAAAACCGGCAATGCAGTTAATTTGATATTGTTAATCTTACAGTACAGCCAGTGGGTAGCAAAGTAAGATATTAAATTGAATGGTCTAGTCAACGATTTTATGCAGTGATACTGAATTTATCGTAACACTCTGATCAGAATGTTACAGTGAATTGGTTTTGCTTGATTTTCTTAATGAGTAAATATTGTTATTGCAGGAGTTATCACAAACTTCACAAATAGACAAATTACACTATTTACCAAAGTCAACATTTATAGGAAAAGCTGATGTAAGCCAAGCCTTAAGGTAAGTTTTTCACTTGCAAATGGTAACTCCTTTATTAAACCTGGTGGCAAAAAATTGATTTAATTTCTTGAGTTTGTTTCTACATTGGTTCACTTTGATGAATTTACGATATACTGTATTACGTGCTCACGATAGTAAATCAACATAAATTCTTCTTCATTAGACTATTATACCACCAACCGTTTCAGGAAGGGCTCTATTTAATTCGAGAAGGCAAAACTTCCATAAATACCACTATGCAAAATATGGTAAGGTTGTTATTTTTCAACCCTAAAACAGTATCCTTCATTTTGAAATATTGAGACGTAAAATTGAGACGCTGTCATGTTCAATTTCAATAGATATTGACTGTAGGCACTGAAGATGTTCCATTACATTTTAGGATACTATATTTTAGTGTAAGTTCGTGAATTAATTATATTTATTTTATATTGTTCGGGCTGCAACACTAGTTAGAATTAGTACAATGGAAAGGTACCACTCTCAGTTGCACAAATCTAATACTATATTTCATTATTAGTAATATCTATTACTTTAAAATCATTTCCATTTTATTTCTAGGATAAGGGATGGACTCTAGATAGGTCTTGCTGGTTTGAAAGACTAGATCAACTGATACGATATTATCATCATAACAGTTTACCGAACTGTTTATGTAAGCTGACTCGAGCATACTCTTCGTAAAAGATAATATACTATATTCCTATCGCTACACTGGATTACATATTTCTTTCCTATTTTTAAGAAATGGAAGGTGAATTTTGTACTGACCAGGACAATGCTTTGAGTACATGTACGCGTGCACCGCAAATTATGTACAATCAATCTACGATGCAGTAGATTGCAATAGTTTTGTTATGCGACCTTATCATTAAACATTATATCGAATTTTGGTGTTAGAAGAATGTTCATAGTAACGTAATCTAGTTATTATGCCTCGAGCACTGAAATAACAGCATAAGCGCGTATTGTAAAGATACTAGAATGCATTGTTGAGCGATTGAGACATACAAATATTACTGTAGTTTGTGTACTGTACATACTGAAGAAAAGAGATTAAGTATAGAATAAAATACTTAAAGACTGCAAGTAGTTTACCGCCTTTGATGAAATAGCAACCAACGATATATATTATATTTGTTATATTTACTGTGGAAATATTTTTATTTACGATGCTATCCGTTTTAGTTAAAACCGACTTCTATCATATAAATGTCTATAACTGCTGCTAACAAATAAACTTTTAAGAAATTTCTTATAACTTAATTGCAGTCGTTCAGAACCGTCCAATGACAACCCAATACAGTATGCTACAAGTACTCGTATAGTTGATCACTGCAAAAATAATTTTTACAGTCTTGAACTAACATTAACATAAAGATTTCAATAGTGTATCGTAACAAATATTAAATATTGCAAGGCGACTTTTATCCAGATTTCATCAAAATATACTGCTTCTCGTTCACTCTAACGTCACATTGCCTAAACGTGAGGCTTACCAAGGTCTACGATAATGTCCTTGGCTTGAATTACATCGTCTGAATTTACAGTTTCTTGAACCTATTTTCGCATATATGTAAATTAAATTTCAAACCATCATTACTATATCGTAAAACGAAGTAGTCTTAAAGAGAAATGCTACGGCTTCGTCTTACAGGTTCTCGGATAGTGCCCTTCTTCACTTTTATCGTAGTAACATTTTCTCTACTTAAATTATCGCATGACGCCGATAATAGTCCATGATGGAAGTAGAAATCCACATCATTTGGAAATTTCATGGTAGCTGTAATATCGTTTAAAAATTTTTTCGTTAACAATAATAGTACCATAACGGAATATCTATCGGTAAAATTATCCACGCTGGTTTAAGAATGTTAAATCAATGAACGATAAAGATTCTTAATTCAAAGAGCCTTGAATTAGTCAGTAAACACTCTTCTTACCTTTAATTTTGCATTCTCTATCCTTTGGGGTTGTTCCTACCTTAAATGATTCTTTGATAGTATTTACTAACAGTTCTGAATAACGCTTTGTGGGATCTATAGATTTCTTTTTGGAATCATTGAAGCCCAAAACTTTGTGATAATAGTAATTACTTTGTAGACGTTTTAGCCTGTTGATATTAATGTAAATCTAGTCAAGTAAGGAACGTTAGATCTTTGACAGATGGGAAGGAACTACTGTATGTTTGCAATGAAAAATTTTACTTTTACCTTGGTTGATACTCCCATATTAAATGGACACCGTTACACTATTGATCATTAACTGACTTACGTTTTGATTGTGAATGGGGTATGCTTTGGCTTGGTGTATGGAATTCTTTCCTCTCTGAAAATAAATAAAAGTTAAAAATTAAAATTTATAATATGATTAGTATATGTTGACGATATTTTCTGCAGCGACAGCCAATACAATGGTATATTTACTAATTTCTCGTCTATTCAAGCTCTTTATGCACATATACAGTAGTCCTTTTTAACAATTGACATTTTGTTAATACAGTCAATGACTGAAATTAAAAGTTTTCGAGCTCGAAAAGTGGTACATGATTCCAGCACCTAATTATCCAGAATAAAGACGCACGGTCTTCGTTGAGTTGCAAATTATCATTATATTTTCGATCATCGCCATCCATCATGTTGATTAACAGTTTATCCTGCGGTTTCTGTACTGCCATATTAGCTCAGAATCCTTTCTATTTTGAAGGTTATTTGAGCCTGGATCGTCACCCTTTCATTATCGATGCTCTGACGGTACTACGCGTCAATTTCTTCCCACGCTCTGCTTTTTATTTTTTATTTTATTTTTCCTTGTTGAACGCACAACGCCTTAAGCGTCCAATATTTACCCAATTCAGTATTCCATGTCTAATAGTGAGTAAATCCATTGTGGTGGTGAAATGACGAGTGTTTCTAGTTGTGAACGGTTGCAAGAGCTAAGTATTTTCATGCATTTTTGAGTAACTAGCGCAGGGATTTGTACCAGGAGAGGAAATACTTTATTTTGCGTAGAGCATTGTCGCTGATATTTATGCTCGTTAACACAGACAACGCTGATACGCGGACGCCAACAAATCATTTTGCACAAACTACAATAAATTTCGACCTGCGATATGAAAGCAAGTTCTCTCTCTCTAACGCATCTGCTTTATTTAGTACGCCGTAGTGATTCCATTTTCTTAAAATTACATTCTGGATTTACTGTCTTGGATTAATAATGAAGGTATAACCTATTAAGAAATCGCTTATTGAAGTTCGTTATAATAATGAATTATTCATCAAAGTCTGATATGTGGATTGTACGGGTTCGTGGGTTCAGGCAATAATGACCGCTCTTTGTTTAACGTAGTAAGTGTACTGTACCAACAAACTAGGTTGAAGCCGATTTATTGGTCATTGTCCTCAGTGGTCATCGACTACTGAATGTGTTTTACCTGGTTCGGCCCGTCGTTGCTTGAGGTGCTATCACTACATTATGCAATTGATGAATGTGCACAGAGTATTTCTACAGTACTGTAGTCGATGGCTGTGTCGATTTCTATTTTAGAAGATGAAATCTCATTTGAACTTTCTTTTTATTACCAAGATTGAAGGCATGAACAAGCTCTACCTCACATCGATCACCAATTCACCTCCTATTTTGGTTTACTGCTAAAATGAATCAATAGAGACTGTACAGTGTACAGTACTGTACAGTATGTTATGGCTTGCCTCCCACCGCAATGCTACAGTATCTCACATTTACAGTACAGTATTGGTACAGTACTGTACACTGTACAGCATATCGATACGCAAATGGTTCATACTCTTCAAAGGTTGTTATAATCACGAAACAGTCAAGGAAGCAAATTCTGAACTCTCTTTTTATTACCAAGATTGAAGCCATGAACAAGCTCAACCTCACATCGATCACCAATTCGCCTCCTATTTTGGTTTACTACTAGAATGAATCAATAGATACTGTACTGTTCAGTGTACAGTACAGTACCGTATACTGTACATTATATCATGGCTTGCCTCCCGCCGCACTGCTACAGTACCTCACATTTACAGTACAGTCCTGATACCGTACTGTACACTGTACACTGTACAGTATATCGATACGCAAATGGTTCATGCTCTTCAAGGCTTGTTACAACTACGAAACAGTCAAGGAAGCAAATTGTGAATGGTTCAACATACGAAGTTAACGTAGAAAGAGAAATTGGCAACTGGACTCAATCCAATCACTGTTTGTAAATCGATCGATTGAATGTGGTCCACGCAAGCTGCTTGATAGATCAAGATTCTTTAGCCTTAAAATGGACTTAAACTTATTTCAATTTTTTACAAAAGATTTACCTGTTGAAGTTAAGTATATCAACAATGCTAGAGGTAAAGGACTATTTGCTACAAATTGCTTTAATGAAGGAGACGAAATTTTTAAGGAGAACCCGCTGGTTTGCGCTCAGTTCTTATGGAATGAATTTTATAAGTATGAGGCATGTGAATATTGTCTAAGATCCTTGGAAGATGCTGAAACTATGGCGCGAAGGTTATCTGGCAACCCCAACGTTGTCTTACCCCATAAAGAGTATTGCAGCACGTATGCAATGGAGAATTATGTCAAATGCCCACGATGTCAGGTAGTTTATCAATACATGTATATATTAAAATCACTACGCATACGTTAACAAGACTACAGTACTAAAGGGTTGTAGTAATCTCCGGCAGTAATTAGTTATTATGCCTCGAGGTTGTATACGCTTTGCTAATCTTAACCATGTAATAATAACATTTGAAGGAAAAGGATATTGTTGCAACGACTTTCTATTACCTACAGTAGCAACACAGTGATTGATACATATTTACTCTTTTGTTGCTCTGATGAGCAATTCAATATAGATATGTAGATTTGTAATACTGATCTTAGGCGTCTTATTGTCTAGCTATCTCGCTGCAACACTCCGAATAAGTAGTTTATTGAACTAGCTCTTAAGACTTTGTTGTATACAAATTAACCTTGGCTTCAGTGACAATGTTGTCAAAGTATAAATCAGATTAAACTCTGTGATTTAGAAGCAGATTCATCGTAGGCTACTTAGTTACCTTCCTTACATTAATTTAACGGTTAATTGATATTGCTGCTGCTTTCGTTATCAACTATCCTGCACGGCGGTAAAAGAGTGATATGTAGTGCGTATCTGTACTGTAACACCTTGAGAAATCACTTCTTTATCGCTACTGTGAATTGTGCGCTTAGGCTAACAATGATGGATAAATCCTTGGTCTATCTTCTTTAATTAAACATTTTCAATGATTGAATGCAATTTAGACTATGTACTGCAGTTCTACGTGCTTGGAGAAGGCAGTCAAAGAATATCATCGCAGTCTATGTTGCGGTTCCAACAATTGCAGGCCGGATCATTCACTTAACAGGCTGAGAGAAACTTGGAGGTAGGTATAAAGTAATAAATGATCTATTAATTATGAATTATTATGCACGTGTAATGAGTGAATTGGTATATTTTTGATAATCCGGTGCAAGCTTCTGATAATTAGCATAAACGCGTAAATACTGTTGCTGCTACACGTACTGCATATCATTTTATCCTACTTTTCTTCCCTATAGGAATATCCATTATCCACCAGAGACTAGCAGCATCATGCTTATAGCTAAAATGATAGCCATGATTGAACAGGTACATCTCTCTCTATCGCTCATACAACTTTCAAGCCAAGTGGTTTGCAAACCTATTAATTATTGATGCAATCCAGACTTTTGAGATTCTACTTGTACTATACTTTTAGGCAGATGACCCAATGGATGTGCTTAAATTGTTCTCGCAATTTTCTCGTGTAACTGCCAATAACGAAGCTCACGTAGCACACAAGTTATTTGGGAAACAATTTGTGGTAAAGCATCTCCGTAACAGATTCTAGTTTTTTTATGTTTCAGTGAAGAGTATTTATAGTATTATGAAAAAATGCATTAAATTAATAACGTATTATTACTTCTCATCTAGGAACAGATTGAAATTCTTCGTTTGGAATTAATAAACACTTTGCCTAGTAGTAAAATCACTGAAGTAAGATTTCAATGCCTATGCAGTGATAATCTGATAATAAACAATATTGCAATATCTAATCTAATGTTGATAAATATTGATTTACATACTTGTGAGATCTGACATAAACATTTTAATTTAGTGGTATACACCGGGTGGTTTTCGATCTCTTCTCGCTATGATTGGAACCAACGGTCAAGGCATTGCGTCAAGGTATGCTATCGCATCAGATTAGATTCAACTTATCTCGCTAGCAAGCAGATGTCATATTCTAAGCATGAAATCAATAAATCACGAATTTATGATTTATTTTTAAAATAAATAAAAGATGAGAGGTTATCTCGGTGCAGCAATCTTCATTGTTATTGCAATATATTGAAAGTTTTTCTAATATTAAGACTACAATCTAGTTCTTTTAGCCAGTATGCTCGAAATGTCGATGCTGCGAAATTTGAGAAACAGGAAGAAGATTACATTAATTCCTTCCTGGATCAATTGTATGCAGATATGAATGAAGGTAAGGTTATTGGTGCATTTATTGGTTAATTTAAATTTTATTAATCGGTTCATAATAGAGTGTACGTCATCCTTTACTATAAATCCACAATTCATATTCTCTATATTTTTAGTCGATTCTATTACACTATATGCCGTCTTTAAGTTGTTTATCATCTGTACTATTAGAATCTGGGGATTTCTTAGATTGTGAAGGTTCTGGCTTATATTTGCTACAGTCTTGCTGTAAGTGAAAAAAAAATTGTGTTCGACATATCGCCTTCACGTAAATTGTAACCATTATGATAATAGGTATAATATCATTTATCATCCTGTTCTATTGTCTAGGCAATCATGACTGTAGCCCTAATGTAGAAATAAATTTTTTGGATAATAATGCGACTTTAACGGTGAAAGCAATTAGGAACATCTCCGAAGGGCAGGTATTGTGTGTAAATATAGTCAACAGTTATTGAACTTATTTTGTGCTTATGTTTAGTTTAAAATATGTTGCAGTTAATTGTAAGGCTACAGTTATTGTTATTACTTTTATTATTATTACTGTAAACCTAAATACAGTATACTATATCTACATTGAACGGACGTTTAAAATTCATAGTACTATTTTAGAAGACAGTATTCGCTTAACTGACCGGTGCAGTCATATGCTTTATCCATCATTGATTTCGTATGCTTATAGGAGCTTTGTATTTCGTACATCGATTCGGATATTAAAAATTGGAAAAAGCGCCAAGCAATACTGATGTGTGTTGCCTATCATTCAATTTTTGTATAGTTTACTGCTAGATATATCACTAATTTCTGAGCTTGTAAGCCTGATTGATTTTCTAATAGAAATCAACTATATTACCTTTAGGGAAAATTATCTATTCGAGTGTACTTGTAATAGATGTATGGTAGAATCGCAGCAGCCTGAACCATTGTCTTCAAGTGAAAGTGAGGATTCGGATGACATGGATGTTGGTGACTGAGGATATATGCACAAATTTGATTTCTCCTTTCTTTAACTGTAAATAAAATTAAAACACTTTGCAAAAAGCCGAAATTACATTGTATTCGATCCGTATTCGTGTGCTCGGTTCACTCTGATCATCTTTCATTTCCGTATCATAGAAAGCGAATGCAATTATTAAATTGAGTAGCATTACATATATATTTAATTAGTGATGTTTCATGGCTACAAATAGAGCTTTGCAGCCTAAGCATTCTGTTGCTTTGACTTGCAATGGAGATTCTGATGCAATGCCATTCTAAACTAATTCGAATTATGAGCTAAACTTTTATACAACTCTACCCTCAGTACCTTCCAAAATAGTATGGTGCATACTAAACTTTTAATGTTTTCTATGGTTCAGCTAGAGGAAATGGAGCTGGACCTGAGAAAGCTTCGGCTTAGTGATCGGTCAAGGAACACGGTACAGTCTCGTACACTTACAGTGCAGTATGGTAGTACTGTTTCAATACCACTGCTTCTACGGTGTAACCATTTAATTATCTAGTAACGATGTTAAATAATATTTATTTAATTCATTAATCAAATATATTCATTTTAACTGGAAGTATCTTCAATTAATTCATTTTTCTGTGCAACATATCCCGTCACCGCGGAATTTGCACAGGTCGGAGGTCTAGTCACAGTAGCACTGTACAGTATTTACTTCCCCGAGGCAGTACAGTATACTGTACATGGTAAACTTTTCTTTCCTGATGTTTGCCGAAAATTTTTATTGACAGCAGTGTTGTGAGGAAATCCCCTTGATAGAGCCGACGCCATTGATAGAAAGGTACCGTTTCCTATTGGATTTGCGTTGAGTAGACCTTGATCGGTACAGTACAATGCAGTATCCAATTGGACATTCATGTACTGTACCTTTGTTCGCTACCTTACCGATCAAATGCTGGACTACTGTATGAAATGATAGTACTGAATGAGGCGCAATACTGCGCAGTGTACAATACACTATATTGTACTGTACACTGTGCATTGTGCAGGCCCTATCAATATTTTGCATGCTATTTTTTGAGCTGTTTTTGCAAAGCTACATGCAGTTTATTATTGAAAATCGGCAAATTAATTGTGCTGCTCGTTGGTTGAAATATCCATATCTACATAAGTTGGCTTGCTATTTCACGGTCATGCCTCAGCTTTCTGTGTCAGACTTTTTCAAACCCAGTGCTGGTGGAGCTAAACGTTCAGCTACTCAAGCTGGCAATGATACTACACCTGAAAAGAAAAAACGTGGAGAGGATAAAGGTGGCCTGTCACCTGAACAGCTTAAGCGCATGGATGAAAATCGCGCTAAAGCTTTAAGTAAGTTAATGGAGGGTAAGAATGCCCGCCTAATGAATTTGATCGGCTCGTCCTGGAAGAAAGTATTGGATTCTGAAATCAACCAGCCATATTGCAGGAAGGTATAGATTATCAACAATCTCGAGAACATGCAATCGAAAAAGTTTGTGCAGTGCTTGTGTTTTGCCGATGGAATGATAACAACGTTCTCTGTCTATACAGTACATCAGCTAGTAGTTCGTGGATTTATCAAATTGCCATCCTTTCAACCCGTAATACGGTGTAATCATGAGCTGTCCCAAATGGCATAAGATATAGTTGTACAGTATAAGTCTGCTGTAGGTTACGATTGTATACTTTAACATCTCAGAATTAACAGAGACATGTTACTGTGCATGATGAGCTTCTTTATTTGCTTGCAACGATGCTTCAGCCGCTATCAATGTACTGTATTATTATTAATTATTGTTAGTACAGTACTGTGTTGCATAATAGCTATATAATAATTATGCGTAAATGGTGAGTGTGATTGAAAATTTTGTTTCAGCTGCTTGACTTTGTAGAGCAAGAAAGGAAAACTGCTACTATTTATCCACCAGGTGATTACATGAAATAGTCATATGATAAGTGATTTGCGACCGGCAATTTCTGTGCAAAGTTATTATTGCACTTTTATTCGGGCATGTTTTGCAGCTTACGGTTACGCTACTTTATGCTATACTGGGTAGAGTGTTAAAGACCTGCATTAATGAGTTGCTTATCAACTCCTCATATTTGTGTCAGTTTCCTGCATGTTATAAACCATCTTCTGTTGATACTTTTGTAGTGGCTCATTGTACCCGCTTTGCTTTGTAAAACGTTATATTTTTGGTTAAATCTGAGCTCGTTACATATCTGCAATACTTGCAGGTTCAACGTTTTCTAGATGGAAGTTAGTAGGCTAAAATTTGGTAGAGTAATTTTAACTTGACAGTTAGCAAGTGTAATGCAGGATTACAGAATTGTTGTACGCACTGCAAAAAATGAATCATAATAGATTCTTAGTAACTCCGTTACTCCTGTGCTAACTTTTCACATGATCATAACTATAGCACTACACTGTACATCATCCATTTTTATATGAATATATTAATTCATCTATAGAAAATCAAGTATTCACTTGGACGCAAATGTGTACGATTGAAGAGGTAAGTTGTAAATAGTGACTATGTGTGTGTATCATTACGGGTACATCAATTACACGATATCTTACGTTTTCATTAAAATCACTGATTTTGTAAGCTAACGGTAACTATAATATCGAAAATACTGTATTAATTCATTGTTTATTTTTATGGAAACGAAATCTGTAGATCAAAGTTGTCATCCTAGGTCAAGATCCTTATCATGGACCTAAACAAGCACATGGTAAAGCTTTCTTGCATGACTACATTTCCAAGTCAGATTGTTTGAATTGTGAAAAATATACGAGAATACTGATTAGCAGTGCATATATTTAAAAATTGAGGTGTAATGTTGTAATACCAATTGTGTAATCAAGATGTTTAAATCTATTGCAGGATTATGCTTTAGCGTACAGAAAGGTGTTGCTATTCCTCCCAGGTAGACTGACTGTATTAGTGCATCAGTAAATAGTTCGCATTGTGCTTCATAATCTTATAGAAGTAGTTATATATGGTTATTGCAGACGCTGAGGTATTTATAATGCAGTCCATTGAAATATTAGTACAGCGTTCTAATGTAATGCATAGCTACATCAGTAAGTACCTTTTCATAGCATAACTTTACTTAGACCGTGTCGAAATAAATGACGATTGGATATATAAAACAGTTTTTGTTCAGTTGATGTTGTATGGAGATCTTAAGAATAGTAAACGACTTAAGGTAACTGCGTACAGTTGCGGATAACCTACATAGAAGGCTATAATTTAGGTCCTTATCCGGTCGCTGACTATTCTACATTTAGTATTAAGCAATGCCGTTCCTAAGGTAAACGTAAGCGAACAAAAACTAAAAAAATATGCACTACATTTCCTGCAATAGTTTGCGCAATATGTACAAGGAATTGGAACAAGATATCCCTGAATTTCAGGCTCCTTCTCACGGTGATCTTACTGAATGGGCTAAACAAGGTCCGTGTACTTGTTGTACTGTAATACATGAATGAATTCTAGCTACGGCGAGATATGCTGTAGCAGGCATGCTACATACTAGTTCTGTAGCGTATGAAACCATACGATTCGATAGCTGTATAGCTAAAATAAGGATAGTAAATACGTACACGATCACTTACGCTGTCATTTAGTCAATCAGATCTCTAGCAATAATAGCATGGTTTTCACTTTTAATAATTTTAAGAGTTTTGTTTACGTTCTTAGGGGTCCTTCTACTGAATGCTTGCTTGACTGTACGCGCTGGACAACCGAATTCTCACAAAGACAAGGTTGAAATGTAATTTAACTTATAAAGTAGAGTTTAAATGGTAGAATTTTTGTTGTAAACATTTCTGTTTGACTTATCTATTTATATTTAAATTTGAGAATAATTGTATAATTCAGTATCCATAATTGTTAAGGGTTGGGAAAAATTGACTGATGCAGTTATTAAGTGGTTAAGCAAGAACTCTCGGCATATAGCGTTCTTACTTTGGGGTGCTTATGCTCAAAAGAAAGGTGCCTCTATAAGCAAGGTTAGTTTATGGACTGAAATATACCTGAGTTGGGACGTTACTCAGAATTTAACTAGATAGTATTTCTTTAACTAATACGCTGTGGTATTATTACAGGATAAACATTTAATCTTAAAGTGTGCTCATCCTTCACCTCTCTCTGCAACACGATTTTTCGGCTGTCGCCATTTCTCGAAAGCGAATGAATACTTGACTAAGAATGGAAGGAAGCCTATCGATTGGGCTAAGCTTTAATAATTGTAAAGAAATGTTATTCATCTGTGTATTATCTCACTTCGAATGTATACAAAATTAATAATAGATTTTGATATATAGTTTAAAGCACTTTAATGACCAGCTCCTAGAATCATCATGTCCTAAAGAGTATAATTCGCCGAGTTAGTAAAAATTCGCTTTGTGAATTTATTTAGATATGAATGTCAAATTTATTGCATAGTATGCTGTCCTCGTGCTTTATTTTACGTAATCTCGTTTGTTATACGCTTCTGATCAATTTATATCAGTTGTTATTTTAAGATTTATCAAGCAAGCACAATGTTAATCTACTGATGGTATTTTTAATATTTTAAATCACTTTTATCCTCATTAGCGCCTATTCATGTTTCTGATAAAAAGATTTCCATTGACGATATGTACCTGTAGTCATAATTTGCACGATTTGTTGATTCAAATTTAATGTTCATTAATTCGTTTATTTACAGTCCTAATAGCAATAGTCGAAGCGACTTTTAATAAAAGATTATTTAAAGATCTTGATAGTGATATTCCGGTTGATACGTATGTGATCATATTTTAAGAGTACTACTGTGCATGAAATCATAAAAGCTATACAAAATACATTAACCTAATTATACCTTTAGAATGCCGTATACCATTTATCTCGACAATGAAATGGTGATAGAGAAAGTAAAAAGCAAATCATACAAAATACACGTATTCATTGTACGTGTTTCAGCCGTGAGTAAAGAATTAAATCTCAAAGTGTTTAACGAATTTCCGAGCAACGGCAATGAACAAGTATGAGCATTAACGAAATAACTGTATGGATTGTCAGAATTTCTGCGGCTCAATATTTATCAAATAAATGAAAGCAAGTCTCATGCAAGATTTGATTCCTTTTAATATAAGATCGCAAAAAATCTTTAACGCGAAATTAGTGCGCCGTAACAGAAACAGTATTTCCTTAAAGTCTACAACCACTGTATTATCAGATACCGCAATGTGCGGTAATATATCTGTTATAGTTGATTATGCACGTAAGACCTTTTCTAATATTCTAAATCACGTAAACATATCAGTGTAAGTTATTCTCGATCCACCGTCCACTTCTCTATTCTGGAATAATTCATTAAAACGTATATTGGTTGGATTAACCTTTGAGTATTATTCCTAACTTTAATAAACTACATTTGGCATACTCAAAACTATCCTCTTACGGCAAAGTAACGCCAAGTTATAAATCCTTTAATAAAAATCTACATAATTTATCTGATAGGAATCTATCAAAATTTATCACTCCTAGCTTATAACATAATTAATCATGTAATTGTGGAGAAAATTCTTATTCCGAACATATATTTAAAAATAAGTAGTTCGTTTTATATGTATGCATCCACTTGAATTGATTTTAGATAAAAAATACAAGAGACTTATATAATAGCCTACAATTTCATATATTAAGATTCTTTTTTTTTATTCCGTTCTATAGCAGTTTTCGATCATACGCAAAATGTAAAGCGGTGCCCTTTCGATAATTGGTGATGATCTCCATGATTTGGCGAAGTTACATATAACTTACGTGCTTGGAATCTCTTTCGGGTATTTACTTCGGCGTTATCATTTTTAATAACTAAACTTATACTAGGAACATGAAAGAAGATTTATGGTATTTTTAATTTACTAATAGCAAGAATTTAATAAGAGTTATTAAGTTGATATTAGTCACGTGATAGAAGAGAAAATTTCATTATAATTGTTATGTTTACCATCATCGTTTATCTAAATAATATGTTTGGAGATAATTCTTAGAAACATCTGCACGTTGAGAATCACGTCAAGGTTAATTAAAATATATCGATCGATTTACAATCTACAATTATCATTATTATATACTTCAATATCGTTACTGAAGCACGGGTGAGGTATCAACCGTATTTCAAGTTCAATGCTTGGTCTCTATGCATTTAGTAATTTTAACATGTCATTCTGTTGAGATCAAAATGAGTCTTTCTTTTATTTATCTTTTTTCTTCTCTCTTAGTTTACACGAGAATTGCAATGCTTTCTTTAACTACATAAGTTGATTTATTTTCTACTTAATGTAATAAAACTCTAGGAATAACACCATTAATGCTGCAGTCATGATTTCTGTATAGAATAGCCAATGCATGCTGAGATAGCCATCTTTTCATAAACAATGAATTCTTTCTTTAATATAACTATAAGTTAACTACTGAGTAAATTTTCTTTGCCAGACAATTAACTCTTTCAATGGTAAGGCCCTTTAAAGTATTTTACTTTAACGATTTCAATTGCAAACGATGAGTCATACTTTCAGATCCAATTTTACATTGAAATAAAGTTGATATTGTTAGAGTATGCAGTTGATGAATTAACTTGATGAATTAACTTGATGAATTAACGTGATGAATTAACTTGATGAATTAACTTAATGAAATTAAGTCAGACTATATTAAACGAAATAAACGTAAATCGTAGAATAGCACCTGAGTCTTTTGACCAATTTGAAAGTTAGCTAAAACAAAGTAGCATTAATCTAATGCAGTTAACGAACTAAATAATATCGAATCCAAATATTAATATAAAGAAGAATAACATGCATGTGGAAAATTTTGTATTACCCTGAAGTCATGATGGTAACCACTACAGCTATAGATCATTTAATAGATTTATATGTTAAACTCAATACCCAGGATCAATCCTAGGATTGTCCAATTTCGAATATTGATCGCAACCTAACAATAAACAATTGGTGGAACTATGAATAGTTCAAAATGCAATGGATATTACACCGGTGAATGTTTCACTATGGCGCCTAAATAGTTTAAACCAGTGGGTTACGGAATGAAGGTAAGGTAGTACACTCAGTTAAGTATATTAAATTAGTATTGTCCCCTATATAAATTATGGAAATATTTCATAAGAACGCTTCTTTTCCTGCCAAAATCTAAATTTCAAGAATGTCTGCTTTTACATTGATGGAGCTCATTTTGTTTATACGAACTTGCGATAAACCTGTGTTATTTCATGTAAAGGCGCGGGTGATAATATAGATACGTAAAGAAACTGCCTTTAGTTTAAATGCTGTGATATAGTAATTAAATAAAGTGAAATTCTTAGCGAAAACCTAAAGTTATGGACGGAAGCTACCCAAAACTATTCGCGTGACTGAACGAGTAGATATGAATCGGTCTTGTATGATAAAATGACGGAAAATTAACAAAAATACGAACGATTCTTCATTACTTAATTAGTAGTATAGATCTAGTAGTATACAGTATTGAATGTATGCTAAGAAGAAAGAAAGACTATGCATACAATGGAAATGTTGTACGTAGTAAAATGAACTACATTATTATTAGTAATGATAGTGTATACTGCAATAAAGCTTGGCCTGTGATTTCAATTTTTGAGATTTATAAGATGGTTCAGTCAAGACTTTTTTAGTGGTAATCAAAATTTAAAGTCTTGCAATTAACCACGGATGCCAAGAAAGAAATCTGCCAAAGTCATGTTGAGGCACAAAATACCGAAACGTGCAACTGTTTTAGGATCTAAATAAGGCGAAGTCACTAAATATCGCTAACTAATTTTAAGTGAAATTCCACCGCAACAATGTTTCACTTGAATATCGTGGTGTAAACATCTGTTGACATATACTAGCATATCTGCCTTCATTGGCCTGAAAGTTACTATTTTAGATTTCTTATATCTATTAGTGTTTATATTAATGAAAAGTGTCATAGATTATATTTTATTTACTACGATTACCTTTCAGCCAAGGTTATAACCACAAACAGCATTTTAGACTATTGCATCATAAAATACTTACTACCTTCATTATGCTTTCATTTTGCAAATGAAAATACGTATACTAATTATGCATTTATATGTTTAGACGATATTTTGATTTGAACTCACTATTACGTTAAAGCACCAAATTTTAGATAGTACTAGTAATTGTTGAGCATAAAGTAAACTTTTACAGTAGAAATTGCTAGGCAGCGTGGTATGGCATAAAGTTAAGCTTTGTACATCTCAAATTAATACCCTAAGTTCGCTATGTATGACAAGAACGGGTAAATGTGATCGATTTCATGCGGCACTATAGATTCTTAGAATTAGACCTAATTGAGTTACCTACAACAAATTTGTTGCTATTTGACTAGAGCCCATTTCTTTCCTACTTGTGTAAGGTTTCAGATATCTATCTGTAACCAACTACTCTATTTCACGGGAATTATTCTATTCACAAAGATACGTTCCCTAATTTCTGACGGCTCTGAAATCAACACAATGAATGCAATATCAATTCTAGAACTTTCTTAACTCATCATTAGTGGTATCATCTAAAATTATAATAGCATGTTATTAATTTGTCATTACACGATGGTATGGTGTAAATAAGCGAATAGGATATAAACGCTAAGGTCGTAAAGTTTTTACACGGTTACTAGTTGTGTATATATACAGAGTAATGCATAAAAGAATGAAACTTCATCTATAGAACCATTCTTTAGCTGGACTTTTCTAAAATCTTCTGTTTGTGGTATCATAGTATCGTCATCATTATGTCATAAATTACAGGCTTATTCCACTAATTTTCTGAATTACCAACAAAATCAGAGTTTATTAGTTTAGTGATGGCGAAATATCAAAACTGTTATCAATATATTATATAAAATTTAAACTAATCAAAGCTTAAAATTGAAAGTAATTTCATCTAAGTTGAGTAAATTAAGTTATGCTTTTAAATGGATAGAATGAATAATTTTAGTTTCACGGAAAACGATATTATTTATTGGATTTTGGTCACATATAGAGACATATAATATGCAACTGACACGCTTTGAAGATTCTAGTTTATGATCTCGCGACTATAATGAGTAAAATACATAAATAGTTTCACCATTTCTATAAAATTACCCCTTAAATTCACCGAAGTAAAATCAAAAAATGCTCATCTAGTAGAGTTTGATATGCTTATAGTAATTT